ACATGAAAGTCACAGGTATCACTCCTTAAGTATGCCAAGGAGGCAGGGCGTGAACTCAGACCAACTGATTTCCTGAGTCTGGGTGCTGCAGGGTTGGTCTCCCAGGAAGCCAAGACCTGGGGAAAGTTCATATCATTGGTAGAGCATGGACAGAAAGACAGAGTATGGGACTGAAGGAAGCTCACCATAATTCAGTACTGAAGTCTGGACCTCAAGGCCCTCAAGTCACAAGAATGTGACTGTGTGTGACAGTGGGCCTTTAGAAGGTGACTGTGGGGACAGTGCGATGGCTTAGCAAGGGAACATGCCCACCTTCAAGGATGCAAGCTTCAGCTCAATCCTTAGAACTCAGATGTTGGAAAGAAAGAAAAAAAAACTACAAGCTGTCCTCTGACCTCAATGCATGTGCCATGGTACACACAGGCCTATTCACACCACCAAATAAACTTTTTAAATGTAAAAAGTGTTTTTATAAAAGGAAGCAATGTTAAGATGAGGTCAGAATTCCAAACACATTTCTACAATCCCAGCACTCAGGGAGCTGGGGCAGGAGGATCCCGAATTTGAAGTCATCCTGAACTATTAGCAAGACCCTATCCCAAATAAAGGAAGAAAGACAAAGAGGAGGAGGGGAAGGAAAACAAAGCGCCTAGACAGAGAATTGCACTGTGGATTAGAAAGGGATTAGAGACAGGGAAAGCATTAGAAAGGGCTTGTAACCTTGGGCCAGCTCCAAGGTGGTAGCCTTAGCAATAGGGATGATGGGCTGGAGACAAAGCAGAAGCGGAAGATGACCAACTACTCAGAGTGCAAAAGGGGAGTGGGAATCTGGGTGCCTTTCCATGGGGGGCTCTTTGGGGATGGCAGCATCATCAGTAAGAGCTCCAACACATAAGGAAGAGTGGGTTTGGCTTGAGATGCTGAGTGTGTTGACTACACCTGCTAGAAGCTCAGGGTACATCCAGTCTCCAGAGTTCATGATTTTTATAAACGAAAACCATGGGTAAGAACATGATAGCAACGGCAGTTGGCAGGGAGAAGTCAGGGCTGGATAGGGGGATGAATGAATAGATAGCTGCAATTGGGAAAAAGCCCTGGAGATTGTCACAGCCAAAGAGCCTAGGGAGACAAGATGACTGTGTCGCATGGATCTGAGACATGATCTTGGAACAGAAAAGGGCCATTAGGTAAGGAAATTTGAACAAAGTATGTGTTTAGTTTAATAAGAATGTGTCAATGCCAATTTGCTTGGTGCAGCCACTGTACTGCACTGATGTAAGATATTAATAACAGGGAAACTGTGGGTCCTTCTGTGCTTACTTTTTTGTAAATCTAAAACTATTTGAAATAAAACATGTGCTTAGGAAAAGGGTATTAAGCTTGAAAAGAATTACATTATGCTCTGAAGGCAAAGAAACCGAACTTAAACATGATTTTTTTTTTTTTTTTTTTTTGACACGTGAAGAAGCTCTTTTGTTCCCTGGTAAATGCACAGTGTGGTTCCCTTGGAGATCTCAGGAAGGGCTGAGCCATCAACTCCCCAAGGCGGCTGGCTAGGAAAAGAGCATTCCCTCTGGTGCCTCTTTCCCTGAGTGAGTCACACAATGAATCATGTCTAATGATGTGCTGTGCCCTGAGTTTACCCCACCTGGAGGGCATACCAAGGTGGCAGTAATAACACATCTCACATCCAACTTCATCAGTCTCTGTGACATACAAGGAAGAGGTCTCGTCAGAAAGAACCTGACTAGGATGTCTCTACCTAAGAGCTTGGGATGACCCTCATTCTCCATGAAGCAGGACAGCTTCTCACTGAGTGTGACTGAGAGACTTCCTGGTCCCCAGGACATTTGTGACAACCACAAGAACACCCCCCCACACATGCAAACTTCTAAATGTGCATGACCTCTACCCCTACGTGCCCCACCCCACCCTGGGACCTGTATTCTATCTGGCCTGTGAAACGGATGGGGAAACGGGCAATAAAACATGCCAAAAGAGCCAGAAAACCAACAGCCCTCAAAGGAGTTTAGATGTGGAAAAAAAAAAATGCAGAGTAGTACATTCACACAGGAAAAGAGGGACCATCAGGGAGATCCAAGCCAGAAAGGGGGGCTACACCAAGGTAGGCACATGCCTGCGATATTGTATTACTATAGCTTTGCGAAATGAGGCCACTGGATAAAGCAGCAGCCCCATGAGGGCTCTATCCTATCATACAACTACACATGAAAAGCCATTGTTTAGTCATAAACATTCTGCTCTCCTCTCTGCCCTGCCAAACTCTTCTACCTACTCTCTCTGAACTGAGTTTCTCACCTAACAAATGGGTGGTAGTACAACCTGTTGGAGCAACTGGATAGTATGTGAAGTGCCTGGCACAAGGCAGGCACTCAATAAATGGCAGGAATCCATGTTTCTCCAGTGCTTTGTTTGCTGAATGCTGAACTCTGTCCCAAGTTCTTCCACTGCTCTGGGGAGAGAGCTCAGTGAGTCAAGGCACTTGCTGCCAAGCCTGACAACCTGACTTTGAACCCAAGACCCTTTTGATAGAAAGAAGGGATTCAAAAGAAAACAAAATAAACAAAAAAAACACAGTATTTCTTAGGGTGACGCAATGAATAAAGGCACTTGCCATCAAATTCTTCCACCAACTTTGTCCCAAATGCTTCTTTGTCCATACAACAGTCAACTGTACCGTTTTTTGTTTTGTTTTTGCACCTGTCCCTAAAATTCTGGACCACATATTCAACTTGCCCTCAGACTTCCTGTCTCTTGAGAGTTCTGCATGCCAGCAAAGAACACATATGTGCAGACTGAGCTGAGCACACACACACACACACACACACACACACAACACACGGCTGCTCTGCTCGTTTCCTGCCCCTACTCCCTCTGCAGCTGCAGTGTAAACAAACCAGCACCTGGAGGCCTGTTTTGGATGTTTTAGCACCAAAATAACTTGGAGGGCAAGGGCTGTTCTGACCTCTGGTCTCCAGGGCTCCAGCTTCAGCCCTTCCCTCCTGGCTTTCTCACCCACAAAGCTCCAAAGGTCGGGCCTATTAATGTCCACTCTGACTTAGGATGTCCTGGGGTCAAGCAATGCAGGAACCAACAGGATGGTTCTCTCACCAGGAGCTACTAGGCAGAGCCCCAGCCTACTTGGCTGGCAGGGAGCTCCACCCACCAGGAGCTAACCACTGCAGACTGTGCTCAGTCAAAAGGCAGTGGGACTAGATCATGAGGAAACATTATGGGCTCCCCCAAAAGCATGCCATCCCTTCCCCTGGGCACCACGACAGGGGTGTGCAACTCTTTCCCCAGCTTGGGAGGAAGAAAAGATAGTCTGTGTCTGCCGCGCTAACCCACAAGTTTCTACTTTTTTTTTTTTTTCCTTAGCTTCAGAAATGAGTCCTCGTCTCTGCCAGGACCAGGAGACCTCAAAGTCAGCACACAGATCCAAGCCTTGCTTTGTCTGTGTGGGACCCGGTGCATTGGATATGGAGACAAAGATAGTAGCTATGCCTCTGCATCCAAATCCCAGGCATCATGGCACACACCAGCCTGAAATTTGGATATTGACACTTTCATGCACACAGAACCTCAGCTCTCTACTGCTGTTCTTGGCATCAGAAACACAATCCCAAGAGTATACCCTGTGGAGGTTAATTTACACTGTCAACTTGAGTGGCCTCTAGAATCACCTAAGAAACACCTCTGGGGGGGGGTCTCTATAAGGAGGTTTAACCAAGGGAAGGAAATTTAACCTGAAAAGGGGGGAAGGCAAGCTGAACATCAGTGTTCATCTCTCTCTGACCACAGATGCAGCAGGATCAGCTTCCTATGCTTCCTGGATCACAATGGACTCTCTCTCCTCACACCACAAGCCAAAATAAAACCTCCCTTCCTTAAGTTACATTTGTCAGGTATTTTGCCACAATGATAAGAAAAGTAATTAGTTACACACACACACACACACACACACACACACACACATACACACTGTGAGTAGGCTGAACTATACAGAAGTCTCCAGACACCTCTTATCTACTTCCTAAACATGGATGACAGCCACATATACATTCCATCTCTCCCGGCCCCCAACACACCAAGAACCCCCCCTCCACCGTGGCTGCCAAGAGAATTGTTTGGTATAATACAGGTTGCTGGGTACTACGGCCAGGAATGGCCTTCTGATTGAAAGGGCTTGGAAGAGCCACTATTGTGCCTCATCCTCCATCTCTGACCCCAAGCACTCTCCATTCCCCCTCTTTGTAATAATAATAATATCATGAGGTCATGAGGTTTATCATCTGTCTTGATAAACCCTTTTCCCCAGGCCTGTGCTCCACCACTGCTGGTCCACTAAGCCAAAGTTGAGCCATCCAGATTCTTTTTCCCCAGAAGTACCATCCAGGACCCAGACAGCAGAGACTGGGTGCTGAAAGGCCTGGGGGTTGGGGGTGGCAGCCTCTGAGCTGATTTCCCAGGACCTTGATAGTTGCCACCCACACTGATGTGACAACTCAGGTTCTTCCTCAGTTCAGTTCAGTTTCCTGGATACTCCAGGGGCTTCCTTTTCTCTTCTGCCCCCTTTTATTAACCAAGTCTGGTTTGGTTGCTTATGTCTAGTAGAAACTTGACCAGCAAGAAAGCTCATGCAGGGATTGGACCCCAAAGTGGAATCATATGGTATTTTTGTCTATATTTATTTTCTACTCTGTTACCTCAGGAGGCGCTGAAGGGACCCTGATGCCAGGAATGGTAAGAAAACTAAACTTACTCACCACCCCATGTGTGTCCAGAGAAACAGGACTTGAAAACCCTCGAGACCTCCAGGCCCCACTGGAATAACACAGTGGCCCTGAGACACTCTGTGAAAGGCTGCCTTTTCTTCTAAGTGTTGCCCTCACTCCCAAGCTCCAGAGACCCTAAAGGTATGTGAGTCTCTTTGTCAGTGACAATCACCCAGTGCCCCAGCTAACCAGCCTGAGTCATGATCAGAGGGTCCACAGACTTTATTTCTGGCAGGAACATTCATGCTTTCATGTCTAGCCTAACTCTAAGAGGTCGCTGGGGGCCTCGCTCAAGGCACCCAGAACTATGAGCCATGTCTTGGCATCTAGGCTAACTCTTCACTCATCCTGGCCTGCCTCCTCGTCTTTCTTCTCTTCTGTGTTCTCTCCAGCATCTTTCAGATTTTGTCGAGCAAACTCCTCAAAAACCAAATTTTCATCCTGAACACTAGAAGAAAACAGATAATGTGTTAGTCAGTGCTTACTCTCTGAAGCTGAAGATGAAATCCTGAATGACACAGAACACTAATCTTTCTGTAATCCAAGTAGAGGGACCAACCCAAGTAGAATGTGTTCTCTCTGATGGAATAGGGGCCATGTCATTCCCAGGATGGAACAGGGACCATGCCAGTCCCAGGAGGGAACAGGTGCCATATCATTCCCCGGGATGGAACAGGCACCATGCCAGTTCCAGGAGGGAACAAAGACCATGCCAGTCCCAGGAGGGAACAAGGACCATGCCATTCCCCAGTATGGAACAGGGACCATGCCTGTTTCCTTAGGGATTTTTCAGGGTTTTTGTTGTCTTTCTGTTTTTCTTTTGTTTTTATGACAGAGTCTCACTCTACAGACTAGGCTGGCCTTGAATTTGAAGTGATCCTCTTGCCTCAGCCTCCCATGTACCTGGATGAAAAGGTAAGCCATCATGCCTAGCTCAGACTGTGCTTAAAAGCTCTTTAACAAACAAAAACAAGAGGGAAACTGTGAGAACCTACAGCATATCTATTGTGTACACGTCTTGAGTTCTTACAAGCAAAAGGAAACAGGGACTAGCACAGACATTCTGAGAGGAGTCTGTAGGGAAAAAGGAGTCACAAAACACAGAAAAAACTCAGAGCAGCATTCAAATGGCTCACCTTTCCTTTGCTGTAGGCCCAGGATGGAGAGAGGGGAGAAATGAAGATGAATGAATTATTTTTAATGAGGATTTGTGGATCCCAGGTTAACCGCAAAGTCATCATAGACGGAGGATGCCCTTGAGCGTCCAGCCTCCCAGACAGGTTGGAACTTTTTATTATTATTTATTTATTTATTTATTTGAGATAGGTTCTCCCTAAGTTGCTAGGCTAACTTTGAACTCCCAATGCTCCTGTTCAACTCCCTGGTGGTTGAAGTAACAAGCCTGTGCCACCATGACCCTATCTCAAAATAACAAAAAGAAGGGTAGAGCACTTTCTAGACCTTCTAGGCCTTAGATTCAACCCGCATTAAAATAAAACCTTAAGATAAAATGAAAGTTCTCATGGAAAGAGATAGCCTAGAATTTTATTTACTGTTGAGTGAAGGAAACTTGAGCTTGAAGAGGTAGACCACAAGGACAGCAACCCTGACATCAGGGTTTTGAGTCATCTCTCCAGCCCCAACTCTCTGAAATCTTGAGCACAAAAGATCACTGTTTCATCCTAAAATTATGAGTTGTCTAATGTAGGGTCTGTAGTGACCAGACTGTGAAAATACTCTAAGTGACGGGAGAAGAATAACTCAACTTTCTCCAAAGCAAGTCGCCAATATTGAAAGTTCCAGAAAACAGCCAGGTGGTGGTGGTGCCCACCTTTAATCCCAGCAGTTAGGAGGCAGAGGCAGGAGGATCTCTGTGAGGTCAAGGCCAGCCTGGTCTACAAAGTGAGTTCCAGAACAGCCAGGGCTACACAGAGCAACCCTGACTCAAAAAACAAAACATAAAAGAAAGTTCTAGAAAACTACCCAGCATAACTGTAGCATCAGGAGACTGTGTTTTCAATGTCTTTGAAGGGAACTCTGAATCTCACACCATTGAGGGGAAAAAAGTTTTTTGAGCAACTTGGGATGAGGCTCAGTATTAGAACACTTGCCTAATGTGTGTAAAATGTTGAGTTCATTCCTGGATGGGGGTGGGAAGAAAGAAAAAAAGGGGAAAAAGAGAAAGAAAGGAGGGGGAGGGAGGGAAAGTATTGAGGAGCACATTTTCAAGACTGCTTGAATCTATGTTTTAGTGGATTGCCACCCTGATTAGTCTCCAAAAATTGTTTAAAATAGAATTTTAATGAGACAAACATAAATGAACAAAAATGCATGACTAGACTGTATTTTCCCCCATAGGGAAGCTTTTGGCTACTGAGGGTTTAAATCTAAAATATTTGGCAAGGATATTTTGAGACATTATTTTTTAATAGTCTTGCTATTATAGTCTAGGCTGGCCTCAAACTTGCCATCCTCCTGCCTCAGCCTCCTGAGCACTGGGATTGCAGGCATACACCAGCATACCTACTTCCATTTAACTTTCTTCTCAGAACCTCCTAGCTCAGCTCACACACCATCCCATTCGCATGTTTGCAGGGACAGTGGGAGAGTCTCAGTGTTTTCACAGATGTGTGCAACAATGGCTTCATTTAGCATCCACACAAGAGTGTGTGGATGGATCGTCAAATGAACGGAGACAGTCAGAATCCAGGCTGACCTTTCCTAGTATTTTCTGTAATCTCATCACTATCACTGCTTTCAGAAATATGTATCACCTTCTAGATGCCTGTTGACACTTCCAAATGAAAGGCCTTTTGTTTCTACATAAAGCATTGCCTGGGGCTCTTCAGAGGGTTTGTCCCTTACATCATCTCTAAATCTAAATGAAGGCCTGTGGACAGCAGAGCTTCTGCAGTGACATTGTCCCTGATAAAATCCAGGTCATCCACACCCAACAGAGAGTAGGAATGCTAAACCCTCCACACAGGGACAGGAGGTGGACAGACCCAGGACTCAGTAAGTGAGCTAGCTCTCTCCAATCCAGGCTGATCTGGTCACCCTGTGGATGACACCCATACTCAGAGGGATAGTGGAGGAAAACCAGAGATACATTAGTGTACAATAAGTCTGCCCGTGGTTAATGGATAAGCGGCCTCCAGGGTGACGGGAATGACTGACCTGGGTCTTCGGGCTGTGGGTGCATGAGGCGAAATGGCACCTCAGTGGCCACTTCACTAGAAAAAAAGGAAGAACACAGGCTGGTGAGTACACACACAGGCACACACACACATTGACACCTCACACACACAGGCAGACACACACACAATTACAGACACACACAGTTACACATCACACACACAGACAGACACACACACAATTACAGACACACACAGTTACACATCACACACACAGACAGACGCTCTCTCTCTCTCGCTCTCTCTCTCACACACACACGCACACGCACACGCACACGCACACGCACACGCACACGCACAGTTACAGATCACACAACACAAAATTGGGGCTTCTCCAGAAGATTCATTCAGTAAGATTCAAAACAAAACAGACTTCAGGAAGTGGTCAGGCAGGAATTTGAAATGTATTCCCTGGAATGTGGTCCAGGAACTTCACTCAGGCGTGGCTGAGACAGCTAGTGTTTTTTGATCCCTCTATTCTGACTGTAGTGAAGACACTGTTTGATTTAGGGAAAAAAAAAAAAAAAAAAAAAAAAAAAACCTATTCATGGGGCTGGAGAGATAGCTCAGTGGTTAGGAGCACCTGCTGCCCTTCCAGAGATTCTGGGTTCAGTTCTCAGCACCCACATCAGGCAGCTCGCAACTGCCTGTAATTCCAGCACCAGGGGATCTAACACCCACTCCTGGACTTCACAGATAAATGCACTCATGTACACATACCTTAAAATAAACTAAATCTTGTTTTTCAAACTGTTCATTGCAGTGAGACCTATTCATTTGAATACATTTTAAATTTTTATGAGGGTTTGGAGAGATGGCTCAGCAGTTAACAGCATTGATGGTTCTTCTAGAGGACATGGCTTTGGTTCCCAGCACCCACATGGAGGCTCACAGCCATCTGTAACTCCAGTTCCATAGAAACTAACACATTCTTGTTGTCTCTGTGGATACCAGACACAAGTGGTACACATTCAACACTTGTCTGCAAAACACTCATACGCATTAAAAATGTATTATGATAAAGAATTGCTGTAGGATATGGAAATCAAACTAGAAGCTCAATGTCCCAGTCCTCCTCACCCCGGGACAGCAGAGGAGGTGGATCCAGTGGCCAGCTCTGGAAACCACTCTTTGAGACCCTGCAGTTGTGGGTGTCAGTGGTCACAGCCTCCCCTTGAAGCTCCGATCCTTGGGGAACGGGCAGGGGCCAATGTGGTTCCCATCTCTGGTGACTCCTGTGCTGAATTCAGCTCAACACCCTTTTACAACTTCATGGAAGCACATGGCACTGTAGGGAGACACCCTAGCCCCGCCCAATAGTCCTGGGGCAGGTACCAGGTGGACCCGGGACTCGCCCATTAGGGCGTGGTGAAGGAAAGCCGGGGTGACGTAAGGGAGCTTCTTAAGGGGCTGCACGTGGGGACCCTGTCCCCTTTTTGTTCTGGCCGCGCTTGCTGGGTTCTATAACCTAGCTCTGGCCTGTGTTTTGCCCTGGTGTCTTCTTGAATAAAGAGACTCAAATCGCTACATGGCACCGCCTTTTTTATGCCCACACAAACTGTGCCATCCATTGTGCCACTTGAGGCGATGTGGCATGGCCTCTTGACTCACATAACAAGATCTTGGAGCAATTTGAAAGGTCTAGATCCCCATTATACAATATGGATGGGTGTTATGGAGAAGCATGGCTATCGGACACAAAGTTCTGCACAGCTAGACCATACTTCAGGACATCATTCTGGAGGTAAAAATGAAAACAATTAACCCAACCTCTGCCGTAGCTCATTCTTTACTCTCTCACATTTCTCCTCAAGGCTCAAAATAAATCCCTTAGTCCCTCCTAATCATAATATGTTAAAAAAATCTCTGTGAGGCTGGTACAAGAGTGGGCAAAAGAAAGAAGCAGGGTCCATCGCATCTCTAATACTGAAATGCTTTGGGGCCCATTAGAATGTACAGGAGAAGAAGGGAAAGGTGTCAGAGCGAAAGAGAAATATTAGGAACGAAAGTGGAGAGAGGGGATGAGAAAACACTGGCATCCCAGGACCCCTGCAGCCTACCACCAACCTGCTTACAGCGACCCAGGTGCAGACCAGGTCTGGATGACATGTCAAGTCCAACACAGAGGTGGGCAGTAAATGGCTATTAAGGGCAAAAGATAGCCAGGTATGATTCAGCTCCAGGCCTGCAACATTCCAACTCTCCAAATCACAGAGATTCTAATCAGTCAGTCTGCCCCTAGCCCAGGCGATGGAAATAGATAAGAGCTGAGACAAAAAACTATGTCCGGTGAATGCTTGTCTCAGATAAAACTTGTTGGTTCTTTGTGCATGGTTCCAAAGATGTGCATCACCATTCACCTTTGCCAAAAGGTAGAGACAATTCAAGTCCTCTGGGAAGTGAAGTTTCCAGGGAGTGGGGTAGGGGGAGACATATCTTTGTTAAAAACTCTGTAAGGCTGAATGACTAGTTAGAAATCCCGTGGCTGTGGGGAGTAGGAGTAGTGCAGCTCTGAAGACAAATTTATCATGGTCTACCTTAGCTCTTAGCAGTCATTCAGTGCCTAGCCTTGTGTTTGATCTGGCCTCCTGTGATTAGCAGGTAAAATCCTTTGGGGGGGGATGTGTAAATAGACCCCCATCTTCCACCAGTCCCAAATCTAAGAGTGCCACCAGGATAGCACCTGAGGTCTGTAGCAGAGGGTTTCCCACATCACTACAACCTGCCCAACTGATGTATTTTTTTAAATACCTTGATTTATGATTTTCTTTGTTCTTTTACTACTAAAAAAAAAAACTTCATAAAACTGTCACCATGTTAGAATATGATATCTGGAAACTCCAATCTGTGTTTCCAATTCAGCATCACTCATACTGAGAACCAGAGCAAACACTCTCTCATTCTCTTTGAGGTTTGAGCTATACCTTTACATCAATACCACCAACAAAAAACATAAACAAAATGTGTTATAATCTACACAATGGAATATTACCCAGGCATGAAAAGGAATGCACTATAGTAGATGCTACAACACAATTAATCTTGAAAACATTAAGTAAAAGAAGCCAACCGCAAAGGCCACATATAATTTTTTTTTTTTTTGAGACAGGGTCTCATGGAGCCCAGGCTGGCCTAGAAATCCCTATATAGATGAGGACAACCATGTCTCTACTTCTCCATGCTGAGATTACAGGTATGTAACACCATTCTCAGTTTTATGCTGTTTTGGGAATTGAACCCTATCATGCTAGGCAAATGCTTTGCCAACTGAGCCACATCTCCAGCCCCACCAGAGGTGAATCTATAGAGATGGAAAGCAACCAGGGGTCCGCAGGGTCTGTGGGGAGGGAAAAGGAGTGATTGCTTAACAAGCATTAGGTTTCTTTTACAGATGTTAAAAGTAGAAAAAAAAAAAAACCTACATAGTGGTGATTGATGTATGACACTGTAAATGTATTTAATTCTACTGTCTATGTTTAAAAATGATGAAAACAGTAAAACTTATCCTATGTGGCCTGTACCCATCTCACATACACAAATAACAGCTGGATGGAATATGTTGGTTTTCTGAGGGCTCTGTGTGTGTGTGTGTGTGTGTGTGTGTGTGTGTGTGTGTGTGTGTGTGTGTGTGTTTCCTTGCCCACGTGGTCTCCAGCCTCTCGGCTGCTGGTGGCATCTCTCACAACACATACGAGTCAGCACGCATCATTTACAGCATCTTTGAGCATGACTGCCCAGAAACTAGTTTTTACTGGTTTCTGTTCAGCCATAGGCTCCATTTCCTCAGCTTTCAGGGAGCTGAGTAGAGAAGGAAGACAACGAGGCTTACCTAGACGTGAGCTCTCCGAGAAAGCTGAAGAAAAAACACAAAGCAAACAGCCACAGTAAGTCCCCAGAGGTATTGAGACCTCAGGTCCTCGGGGTTCAAAGGCAGGACTGGCCCCCATCCAGCTTAGTAGGCATGGCTCTAGGAGTGTCCCTAGCAGATTCCAAGACTCCCAACTCTCAGCTTCATTGCAACCTGCTGAGGGTTTCTCCTTTTTCTCCAAAGGGTGACTTAAAAGTGGACTCACATTGAATCAAAAATACGCCACAGGACCAGAAATTCTCATCCATCCTGTGGTAGTCAAGTACACCTGAGGCCACAGTCCTCCCAAGAGGCAGAGAACATGGACTGCAAGTGAGACCCTTACTCTAGGTTATATAGTGAGAACCACTCTCAAAAAGGGGGAGGGGGTGGTGGTGGCGCACGCCTTTAATCCCAGCACTCAGGAGGCAAAGACAGGAGGATCCCTGTGAGTTCGAGGCCAGCCTGGTCTACAGAGTGAGTTCTAGGACAGGCTCCAAAGCTACAGAGAGAAACCCTGTCTAGAAAAAAAAAAGGTGGGGGTGGGGGGTGGGGATGCATGACCAGGATGACAAAAGCCCATCAGGGAAAAGGCCAGCACCTTTGGCAGTGGAATATTACAGGAAAATAAGAACTCAAGTCCTTTCCTTCTGATGAGAGTAAGCATATTGATTTCACAAAAAAATAGGAAACTGTCTTTTATGGCTGAAAGATGGTTAAAAGCACTGGCTACCCCTTTTTTGTTTTGTTTTTAAGACAAGGATGGTCTTTATCCACATCCCTGGATGGTCTGGAACATATATGTAGATAAGGTTGGTCTTGAACTTATAGATACCCACCTGCCTCTGCCTCCCAAGTGCTGGGACTGAAGGTGTGTCCCACCACATGTTCATTTACACATGTGTAGGCAGAGTACCCATACACATAAAATAAAAATAAAAAGTCCTTAAAAGGAAATCATTTCTTTAGCACTCTCAAAAGCAGTACTTTTATATGAAAAGGTGACTCTTTATTATGTGATTACATGTTATGGAATGGAAGGAAGGAACCCCCTTAGGGACAGGAAAGTCTAAGATATAAATAAACATTTATTTATTTATTTATTTGTAGTCCTTGATGTACCTGGATTTACAGCAATCTTCCTTCTTCTGTTTCCCAAGTGGTGGGATTACAGGCATACACCAACATGCTCTACTTGAATTTTTGTTTTTATTTTGTTTTGTTTTTAAACAAAACAGTACCCCAGGCTGTCCTTAAAATGACTAGATGGCCAAGGATGACCTTGAACTTCTGAACTTTCTGTCTCTATCTTGCAATGCTGAATTAGAGCCATATGAAACCATGCCCAGTTTATTTGGTGGTTTAGAGCAAAGGTAGGGCTTTATGCCTATCAGGCAACACTCTGCTAACTGAGCTGCACCTCCAGCCCTGATTTATAAAACAAAAACAAAACCAGAATCTCACTATGTGTCATAGGCTGGCCATGGTCTTAATCCTGCCCCAGCCTCCCAAGGTGGCTCATGCCACACACTGAACCCAAATAAAGGAAGATTTACAGAGAGTTCATTAGGCAGCTGCAAGTCTTCCAGAAATTTGAAAGTTAAACTGACATTATTCCTTTTTTTTTTTTTTAACCGAGCAAGGCAATTTTGCAAAAGGGTCTGCCTGTCATTGCTTCCTGTCAGCTTCCTGTGTGTGCAGATGCACACCCACTTCTGCTCAGCGGCACAGACAGTGCATGTGTTTCAGTTTGCTTTTCAGTACACATCGCCTCCAACAAAACTGCAGAGGCTGACAAATGGAACCACGCCAGACTCTATGTAGGCATAGCAGGCACCTCTCTCGGGCTTCCTTTGCCATCTATCTGCCTCAGGAGAGGAAGAGGCCAGAGATGGAGAACCCAACACTTACCCTGACACTGTGAGCTTCACCTTGATATGGTATGACACCAGGATGCCCATGACAGTCCGGTCGATGCCCTCCTTGATGCTACCCAATCAAAAAGACGGAGAGGGATTATGAGAGCAGAGCCAGTGTGGGACCCATCCCTCTTCTGCCAGGGCCACCATTCTGAAAATGTTGTCTTGGAACTGGAGAATTCCATAAATGGGCCACATGTCTTTATCCACTTGTGGTACTGGGGAGTGGGTTTTCTGCATCTTTCCCTATGGTGTTCACCTAGGGCACAGCATCTGTCCTCCTTCTCAAGGCTCAGCCTCTGACCTATTTCATTCTCCTGTTTCCTCCCTCTCCCTGCCTTGTCCCCACCATTCCATAGTTGCTGAATCCTTCCCTGAAGACTGAGGGTTCTGTCCATCAAGAATCCAGTTTCAGCAAGCAATCTGTGAGGTGCCATTGACACATCCTACCAACTATGCCCTAAAGCCTCTAGACACCAACCTTGCTAACTCCAAACCTGCCCAGAAGGCTCTTCTCCTCTTCTCCTGCACCCCAATACCTCCAGCTGTAAACCCTTCCAGGACACAGCCTGGTAGCACTGGGCCCCCTTCTCCTGTGTTCTGCTCACGAGAAAGACACAGGGAACACTCTCCTATACCTTGATCACAGGATCATGACTGTTCCAGATTGCATCCAAAATCTCTGTGTGTCCAGCAGCCAGCATGGCACCTGACACCGAGGGAAAGCTCACTGAAGTGGATGAGCAAGGAGTGTGGGATGTGACCAGAGAGAGTGAAGGGTGACCTATGATCATGTGTGAAATTCCTACCTTCAATCAAGATCCCCACTGGGCATTTTGTCACAGTTTATTATCTCCTATGACCCAATGTGGAAGACTTAAGTATCCTATTATGTCTGACAACAGGAATTATGAGATGAAAAATAACCCTGAAATCTAGCTAAGCTACTATGAACCACAACAAAATCTCAAGGGAGGACCCTGAAGGCAGGAAGCAGAGGGAAGTTATGTTGGCAGTCCTGGGATCTGGGGCCAGGCCAGGCAGGGAGAACTGTGTCCAGCCCCAGAGGCCTGCTCCTGGATCATGTGCTCTAGGACCACGACACTCCCCAAAGAGCACCACCATCTGGTGGAAGGACAGAGGCACAGGCTGATACCACACTCTTGCTGCCATTGACTCATAAACCTGTGCCTTTATGAAGGCCCAAACATGGGGAACAGGACATGCCTGGGACTGCAAGGGCCCTCACCATCATTTTTCTGAGTGGGAGTGCCAGTGTCGAGTGGACTTGCTTGACAATTAACTCAACCAGGGACCCTCCATGAATTTCTCACCCTGTTTCTACTGAGGGATACCTGCCTACTATATAAAAGGGAAGCTTCTTCACAAAGGTGTGGAGAGGTATAAGCGTTTGTAAACCATGTCATACGCTGTAAAACTGACTTTGCAGAAGTGTGTGTCGTTGGCATCGGATCATTGCTCCCTTAAATTGATCTAGGGCATCAATTTTCTTTCCCTGGAATTTCATGAACACACTTTAGAATCTAACATAGACAGCTGGCAAATTATCCTCAGAAAATCCCTTGATTCCCACCTTCATTCTGGCAAATATGCCCTGTCTCCACTACTGGCCTCACAGAATATGAGCTATAGGTCCATATGGGTCAGGACACTTCCTCTTTCTTCTGGAATTACCTCTAAGGGGCCTAGTAGGGCCAGGAGGGAGCCCCCAGCTCCCTATGGGAGAGGAAAGTAAATGGTCTCAAGCCTAGATCTCGGTTCCTACCTCACACCTCCCAGCAAATCAAGCACAGAGGGCAGCTAGCAGCAAAATTCACTATGGAGTGTTTTTCCCCCCTAGATCTTTTGCCCAAATCTAGCTAGTGGTTCTCCAAGAGAGAGTAAGCAAGTCAGCTCTTCTTTTCATGAAAATCTGGTGCCTACCAGTAGCCAGTATGTCTTCCAATCTTTCCAGATGGAGAATGAATGAAAACAGCCAAATGTGGTAACTCAGTTTACGTGTTCAGGGTACCACATGGGCTGCAATTCTTTTGGATGTAACTGACATTTCTGGAACACTCTGAGTGTCAGACACCACACTTTACATACACTGTCCCAATTAGTCTTCATCACTAGCATGTGACATTGAAACTGTGATTACTCCCACTTTACAGACAGGAAAACTGAGGTTCTCAGAGAGCTCAAGGAACTTGGCCATGGCTACCCAGAGAGCAGGCAATGGCACTGTGGTTGGTGTAAGGCTGATGTATCCATCTGTGACCTGTGGGGCAGCCCAGTACCAGCCTGCACTGATGGCCCATTCACACACCCAACGGGACTCACATGGTGCTGGAGGCCAGGTTTGTGTCCTCATGTTTGATCCTCCCATCCAGCGCAATGCCTCTTCTCTCTCTGTTGTTGGCCAGCAGGGGTACCAGCATCAGAGTCTTGGTCAAAGTACTGTTTGGCTGCACTTTTTCTCTTGAGGAAGAATGATAGAGAATTTATGGCTGTCACAGCCACCATCAACACCTCAAGATCCTATCTGCCATAAGCATTTGCAGGGTCAAAGCCCACTTACAAGGTAAAGGGAATCTCTGTGAGCCATCCTGGTCTACCTAGTGAGCTCCAGGATAGACAGAGAGCCTGTCTCAAGAGAAAAAAAAGAAAGAAAGAAAGAAAAAGAAAAGGAAAAACAAAACAAGACCAACTAGCCTAAAGGTCCAAGACTCCAGCCAGTCTCCTCTGGAGACTTCCTGAATCCCACAGTAGACAGAAGAATCTTTGGGTCAATGTCAGCAAAAAAGCTCAGACAGGACCACTGTAGTCAAAAACTGTCCATAAAAGGACAGTCTGTGCATGACTGATGGTGGATCACTCTGTTTTGTTCAAAGCAGCACACCTCTTTTGTTACTAGGGCTGCTTCAGAGGCCTGTGGGTTTCCCTATGTAGATGGAAGGAACCCTGTATAAGGGACAATTCTGGGACTCAGTTGGGGACACATCATTCCTAGGGTCCCAAAATGGTATGTGGGCCTGATATTCCCTCTGCAGCACACATACTAAGCACCAGGCCTGGGCTGAGGGCAGAAGGCAGGGTGTGGCCTGCAAACATTGGCTGGAGGCCAGCATCAGGACCACTTCCTGAATGAGTTCCCAGACATCCCACGGGAAGGACATCCCACTTCCCTGTTTGCTCCCCCACGAGGAGTCTAAAGCAACTCTGGGTTCTCCTGTCTCTGGTGAGTACAGGAAGCCCTTTGCAACATTTTGCTTGAGCTAGGGGGTGGCTATATCCTCCCACCTGGGTCATGGTGGACTCTCTCCAGCTTGATTGTCACAGAAGGGACCTCCGGGCTAGGATGATAGCTTTTATTGTTGTAGAATTTGCTGAAGGACTATGCCAGGCCCACAGCTGTGCCCAGGCCATTAGGATCCCAGACTGCATCAGCAGCAACATCTTTGAAGTCAGGTTTGACCTGGTTTGAGGAAGCCGGCCCACCAGAATCCCAGGGACTGGGTGTGTCTGGAAGAGTGGTTTGGGTGCTACAGCCTTCTGAGTGGCCTCTATGTTGAGACCAGTGTGAGCAATAGTCTTAACAGGATTTTCTTAAGAAGTGCCTAGGAGATTTGAAAAGCACAACTCTGATGTGCCTAAAGAACATTTCCAGAGAAGATTAACCCAGAGGGGAAGACTGCCCTGAATACAAATGCCACCATCTCATGGCCTAGAAGCCTGGCTGGCATCAAAAAGGAAGGAGAGAGTGCTGCATTCTCTCTATTTCTGTTCTGCCATGCCCACCCTGCTGTGACAGACACAGACTGTGGATGGAAGCAGGTATTCCCTCTGACAGTCTGTTTCCTCTGGTATTTTGCCCCAACAATGAAAGAGCTAATGTGATCCAAAGCTAACATTATCCTAGACTCCTCCTGCCCTCAGGGAAATATCAGAATGGTTTTCACTTTCCTGAGGATCGTTAGGTCCAAAGTTTTGAATGAGAAACAGGAAATGGGATATATATCTGTCAGGACAATGAGTCCCACAGTTATGGAGCATCTGCCTAAAGGTCAGGCCAAGACTCCCCACTCCTTGAACTAAATGTGGAACAGACCCAGCCTGGCATAAGGAAATCTTTTTCTTAACAACGTATACTACACTAAAATGCAAGGATGTCTTTGTTTTGAGTAGTAGCTTACTATGAAGTTGGATTTTTATTGTATGTATGCATGCATGCATGCATTTGGTTTTCTGAAACAGGGTTTTTCTATGTAACCCTGGCTGTCCTGGAACTCACTTTGGAGACCAGGCTGTCCTCAAACTCACATTGATCCGCCTGCCTCTGCCTCCCAAGTGCTGGGGTTAAAGGATTTTAATATATAATATGATCTCAGTGTGTTTTCTTTCCTTACTACCAACCCCTCCCTTCCACACCAACCTTCCTATCACCCTGGTGATGTTTTCGGTACAGAACATGCTAGCTAGACAAAGTGGAGATGCATATCCAAGCCTCTACCCAGCCTGTGTACTAAGAACCTGACCTCCTAGCACAAAGCAGAACACCCAGCAGGCCTCTCATGTCGGCACTTAGAACCTATCGAGGGATTCTGTGTGTGTGTTTTGCGTTCACTGTAGGAAGAAAGCCATATGCAAAGAGCTCAGAATGGACCCAGTTTTCAAGCCCAGTTGTCATTGCTACAAGATTTTCAAGCTGATGAGATCATCAAAAGATATAGTCATCAATGGCTTTTAGAAACTCCTACCCACACTTGGACAGGTCTCACTTTCTGCAATTCTCTTGAGAAGCCCAGGCCCATGCTCTTAGGTGTTTTTGTGTTTTCTAAGCTATGCAACACTTTTTCTCTTGACCTTCATACTTCAGCTTATATTAAAATATCTTTTTAAAATATTTATTTTATTTACTGTGTGTACGTGTGTGTGTGTGTGTGTGTGTGTGTGTGTGTAGGTACCTACAGAAGTCAGGTGTATCAGATTTCCTGGAGCTGAGGTTACAGGCCTTTGTGAGCCACTGAACATGGGTGCTGATAACAAATGTAGGTCCTCTATAAGAGCAGTATGTGCTCTTAACTACTGAGCCATCTCCTTCCTCAATTCTTAAAATATTTTTATTAAACCATATATATATATAATATGTATGTATGTATGCATGCATGCATTTGGTTTTCTGAAACAGGGTTTTTCTATGTAACCCTGGCTGTCCTGGAACTCACTTTGTAGACCAGGCTGTCCTCAAACTCACATTGATCCGCCTGCCTCTGCCTCCCAAGTGCTGGGGTTAAAGGATTTTAATATATAATATGATCTCAGTGTGTTTTCTTTCCTTACTACCTACCCCTCCCTTCCACACCAACCTTCCTATCACCCTGGTGAATATATATATATATTCAGCCCTAGCCTGGGGCTGATAGCTCATTTAGTTATCTTCTGGGTACAGGTAGAGCCCCCAATCCCTGTCAACACATTCCAAAGATACACTGAGTCCCTGCTGCTCCCATAGTGATGTTTCTCCTAAAATTTCTCCCCTCTGATCCCTTGTTTATGAAGCCTGATCTCTCAGCCTACCAGACGGGCCCCAGGGGCGAAGTAAACACATAGCTTAGATGCTGACTTGCTTTGTAGCCCTTGATGTGAGAAAAGGGGAAGAAAGCAAAGGCTGGGGGCCTGGAGGGGCATTCTAGTTCCCTCTTCAGAAGAGGAAGTTAACAAAGTGGGCTGGCCGCCCAGGAAGTGGAAAGGCAACCGCTACTTACTGAGTTTCCTCTGCAGCCACAGGCTTGACGTAATAATCACTTGAGTAGAGAACCACATTGGCTACTTGCTCCACTGCAAATGGAAGACAGGAGTGGGGTGAACAGTGCAGCCCCTCGTGCCTTCTAGGAGACACATGGGACCATTTAAATCCAGTTCTGGCCTTCCCAGCCCCCAGCTTAAAGAGTGCAAATTTTCAAGGTCTGGTTTCAGGCCATCTCTGTACACTAGTGACTGACATGCTCTGAGTCAATTCCCACCAAACACCAGGCTCTCAGATGCGGCTGGCAGGAGTACCCTCCTCTCCTGGGAGCCCATGATTTGTATTGGGTGTCCTTTCCAAAGGCATGATGTCTTCAGCATCCCAGAACTCAGTGTACCACCTACAAACCCAGCCCCTTCCCTTCATCCTCCACCTTACAGAAGGAGTACTGTCTTCCCGGTCCCTAAGCTTTCTGGAAACCTGCCAGAAGCAACACATGACCCATACACAGTGTGATACGGTGGACAGGGAGGATGGCTCTGCAGCCTGACTACTTAGGTTCAAATCTCTGTGGGGGAAATTCTTTAGTTCCTCTAAGCCTCAGTTTTCCCCACCAGGAAAAAGAGGAGGATGATTACATAGGATAGGTCTGAAAAGTAAAAGACAGGTTGGCACTGGGGAGATGTCAGTAAGCCTGATGTCTTGAGTTCAATTCCTAGAACCCACATGATGGAAGGAGAGAACTGACTCACACAGGTTGTTCTCTGATCTCCACACATATGATGTGGCATACACATACACACACACACATACACACACACACACACACACACACACACAAATAAATATCAAACAAAAATGGGCTGGGAAGATGGCCTTGTGCCTTGCAAGCACAAAGATCTGCACTCAATCTCCAGTAGACTCATATCCCAGCACTTGGGAGGCAGGCACAGGTGAATGAATCCCTAGGGCTTGCTGACCAGCTAGCCTAGTTTACTTGGTGAGCTCTAGGCCAGTAAGAAATCTTGTCCCCCAAATAAGTGTACCTGAGGAACCAGACTTGAGATTGTCCTCTCCATGCATGTATATGCATGCACACACATGATGGTGAACACCTATAAACCCTAGCACTCATAAGGCAGAGACAAAAGGGATGCTGCTAGCTTGAGGCTAGCCTAGTCCACATAGCAAGATAGACAAGAAAGGCCCTGTCTCAGAAAACAACACAGTAATAATGAAGCTGAGACTGGTAGCTCATGCCCAAGAGACTTGGAAGGGCAAGACAGAGGATCAGGAGTTCAGGGACAATCTCAGCTGCAACCTGAGCTATATGAGATCCTGTTGCAACAAGAAAAACAAAATTTAAAAAAAAAAATGTTGTCGCTTTGGTTTTTAGAGACAGTGTCTCTCTGTGTAGCCCTGGCTATCCTGGAACTTGCTCTGTAGACCAGGCTGTCGTCAAACTCAGAGATCTGCCTGCCTCTGACTCCCAAGCTACTAGGATTAAAGGTGTATGCAAGGCATACCTGGAAAATGTAAACATTTTTAGAGATGCTTTTTAATGTCTTAAAATCAAGCTTGAGGATTAAAAGAAAAAATTATTTTGGCTTTTCAAGACAGTGTTTCTCTGTGTAGCCCTGGCTGTCCTGGAGCTTGTTCTGTAGACCAGGCTGGTCTTGAACTCACAGAGATCCACACCTGCCTCTGAAGCTGAGTGCTGGGATTAAAGGCAAGTACCACTACCACCTAGCTGAAACAATTTAAAGCACCTATCATGTACCTAATTTATAGAAAGCTATTAACATTTTGTCTCGGAAAATCCATCAGTTTCTTTCAAGGTGATTAGTTTTGCTATCAGTATTCAATAAACATTGAGAACTATTTTTATTTTGAAACAGGTTGTACTGTGTACCAAAGGCAGGTCTAAAGCTCACAATACTGCCTCAGGCTCCCAAGTGCACACATTACAAGCATGCACCATCGCACTTTGCTGGGAAACAATTTTAAATACAAGTATTCTAATGATACATTATTGATTTTGCTGTTACTTCTGAAAGTTTGCTTCTGTTCTTTCAAATTGGAATTATAACCCCAAGGTGACATTATTTCTTACATTTGCACAATTAGAAGGAGCTGTGTACATGTCAAGGCCCTTGTCTGGGGGTCAGAGGACAAATTGTGGGAGAGTCAGGTTTCTCCTTCCACCACGTGGGTTCCAGAGATCAAACTCACATCATCACGCTGAGAAACAAACACTTTTACCAGCTCATCTCACTAGCCCAAGGAGGCATCCATTATTAAGAGGAGGGCTTTGTGGGGAAGTGACGTGGTCGTGGGGCTGGTGTACTCATGAACAGGATGAGTGGCCTTCAAAAGAAGGTTTCAAGAACTTGTTACAGGATAAAGTCCTCATCAGACCGACCAATCTACCGTCACCTTGACCTTGAACTTCCCAGCCTCCAGAACTGCCAGAAATAACTACTTGTTTTTAGCTGGATAGAGTGGGACATCCCTGCAAATACCAGTGCTGGGGAGGCAGGGGCAGAAGGATCAGACATTTGAGGCCCACATCTCAGTGTGTGTGAGCCACCTAATTTATGCTATTTTTGCAACAGCAGCCTGAATGGACAGATAGACTCTACCACACAGACCAAAGGTATTGCCACTACATACAATATGCTGAATAATTCAGTCCTACAGAGAACTAAACCAACATAAAACAAGGCTAAATTAATATTCATATTGGCAATAAGAAAAAACACAGAGTCTCTAATATACGTGCACACAATCTGAACTTCATCTTTGATGGACATACAGGGAAAGAGGAATGTGTCAGCCCACTCTCTGTTGCTATAGCTGAATACCATAGCCAAGATTACCTATAAGAATGGAGGATTAATTAGCCCCTGGCTCTGGAATCCCAAGTGGTGCTGCCATCTGATAAGGGCCTTCCTGTTTGATCATAACAGCAGGAGACCTCAAATAGTGGGGGCAGGTCATCTGTGCTAATTTAAGTCTCTTTACTTCTTACAAAGCCACTAATGTCATTACAGGTCCTTCCTCATAACCTCATTTGACCCTAGCTACTTCCCAAAGTCTCACCTGCAAATATCATTAACATATGAACGTGAGGATCAAGTTTCAAACACAAGAGTTTTCAGTGGGCACATTCAAACTGGGTGTGTGGGGTGTGTGTGTGTGTGTGTGTGTGTGTGTGTGTGTGTGTGTGTGTGTGTACACTGGAGATTAAATCCAGGGCCTTGGCTATACCCAGCAAGCACGCTACAAACTAGCAATATCTCTAGGTTTTTGTTTTTGTTTTTTAAATGGGACTTCATATAATCTAGGCTGGCCTCTGCATGTAGCTGTGGCTGGCCTTGAACTCCTGACCCTCTTGGTAGCTAAGCCTAGCTAGAATGCCTATTTTAACATTAAAGTTCCCATAAAATTTGTCCTGGGTAACCTGGGATGGCTAACATTACTCTGACATATAAATCTACCTTATTGTGGCCATCAAACGTATTAGTTGCAAGTTGAAGTCTGGATTTACCCTTCCAAGTCAATCCATTGTGTTTTGTTTGTTTGTTTGTTTGTTTTGCCTTCAAAAGACCTACACATTTTGCTGCTGTTTTGAGACAAATACTAGGTATGTCATCCAGACTGACCTCAAACTCCTAATTCTCCTGTCTGAGTCTCCTGAGTGTTGGGATTACAGGTATGTGCCACGATGCTCCCAGACCTGTACTTGAATGGGCTTTGAGCTGAGGAACTAATATGCAAGACTAGTAAGGGGGGGGCATTCCACTGCAGTACATAACAGCATTGATCCTCACTAGTTGGTCATTCAAGGTGAGACATCACCCTTCACTATTCATGAAACACTTCTATGTGGGACCTCTACTTCGTGCCTATAGGCCTGGGAAGGTAGGTGAGGAGCCACTACTGTGGGTTCCAACTGGGATTCAAGGGTGATACACCAGGAGCCCACAAATTAAACCCAGTGTTTTCAAATCTAATTCCTTGCTCAATACACTTGCTGTATTTATCAATAAAAATTATCACTTGTCCAAAAAGGGAAATGGGGCTGGAGAAATGGCTCAGCGGTTAAGAACACTGGCTGCTCTTCCAAAGGATCCAGGTTCAAGTCCCAAAATTCAAACAGCCAGGGGATCTGATGCCCTCTTCTGGCCTCCACAGGCACTGCATGCATATGGTACATACACACACAGGCAAAACACCTAACACCTTAAATAAATAAACTAACAAACAAAAACAAAAAGAGAAGCTTCTCCCTAGACTTCCCAAGTGAGGCCTGGCTCAGAGAGGTGTCTCTGGGAAGGCATGACCACGGGAAAATGGAAAGGCCATCTATAGGAGAGGAGAGACAGTACCAAGACAAAAGGCAGCCTAAGAGACCATGATGGTGAATGCAAGCCTTGTTTTGAGGTAGGGGATCAACACAGGCATATCTAGGTATGTCACCAAGGCTTGCCTCAATATAGACATAACCAAGGACAACCCTGACCTTCTGATCTTCCTGTCTCTACCTCCCAAGTGCTGGTTTTTGTGGTGCTGTCATGGAACCTAGGGTTTCCTGCATGTGCTACCAACTGAGATATGTCCACAGACTTTTAAGGCCCTCCTCTCTCTAAGGTCCTGCTGTCAATGAAAACAACAACAGTAGGCAGACCCAAGGTGGAGACTTATCAGGTCAGTGTGGCCCCTAAGAAATAGCGTGAGGTTGAGGAATTCTAGAAGGTCCTACCTAATACTTTAATCTTCTTCACAGTCTTCTCTGTGTTGTTGGTCACTGTCACAGTCACAGGGATGGGTTCCCCATGGAAATAAATCTGAAAAGTGAGAGAGACATCAGAAGAGAAGAATGGGGTGCAGTGGGGTGGGATCTGATTGGAGGGCTCTCTAGACCAAGATGTTTTTAATCTCTTTTTGATAAATAAGGCCGAACACCCCCAGTATTAGAGATGCTAAAATGATAACAACATTTCCTCTAGAGATGGGTATGGACATGTTCAGCCCCTTTCTTGCAGAAGGCCAAGGACGTTGAGGGGTGTGATGGTCAGCTTTGTCAACTTGATACAACCTAGCCCACCTGAGGGGACAGAATCTTGATGAAGGATTGTCTACATTGGGTGGGTCTGTGGAGAACTGTCCTGATTGTTAGTTGATATGGGCTGAGCCAGCCCCACTGTGGGCAGCCACTCTCTAGGCAGGGGGTCCTGAACTGTATTAAGAGTGGAGGGAACATAGCCGGGCGTTGGTGGCTCATGCCTTTAATCCCAGCACTCGGGAGGCAGAGGCTGGCGGATCTCTGTGAGTTCGAGGCCAGCCTGGTCTCCAGAGTGAGTTCCAGGATAGGCTCCAAAGCTACACAGAGAAACCCTGTCTGGGGAAAAAAAAAAAAAAGAGTGGAGGGAACAAGTTGAACGTGAGCAAGCCAGTGAGCATGCATGCATGTATTCATTTCTCTCTGTTCTTGACTGTGGGTGTGATACAACCAGCTCTTTGAAATTCCCGCCTTGACTTTATTGTTTGGGGTTGGGATGTGTGAAATGAAAAAAAGACACTAGGAAAGCTGACTGAAGGAGCTTTACCCAGCAACACCCTGTGTTATCCAGCCCTGGGTAGGCACGTGCGTACATGCTCTTCACCTTCTACTACCATGACTCTCCTCGTTGATGTCATCACTCTTGACATGGCTGCCCTGTGAGTTTTCTATGAAATCTCAATTTTCTAAGGAAGTGAGCAATTTGAAGTAGTACAGTGAGCAACACTGTCTGAGAGACAGGCGCGGAAAATGGCCAAGGTGGATGGGAGGGGAAGTATGCTTACAATCTCGACAGTCCCCAGTCTATTGCGATAGCCAACAAGTACAATAGTAAGCCATGATGGCTCATGGTGACTATCTCCAAAGTAATGGAAACAAGCTGGCAATTTGCAAACATCTATGCTTCCACTATGGAAGAAACAAGGTGATTTGGGATGCGTCCACACAGTGAGGAGGCTGTGGTCTGGATGTCCATGGGGATGTGGATTACCTCTTTGCTGAGGGAGACTGAGAGGTTCAGAGGCTTGTCAGACATGAAGAACTGCCAGGATGCCTCAGCGCAGGGCTGGGGACCCATCTCCGGAGGGGCATGCTGCACTTTCCGGATCAGCAACCGCACAGAGCTCCTGAGGAGAAAAGGTCCAAGGTTCCTGGTTGGTACCCCACCCCCACCCAGCTTCAAAGTGACCTTCCAAGGGACATGGGAGAATGGGGGTGGGTGCTACTCTAATTTCTCTTCCAGGATTGAATGGATTCCAGGAACTGAATGCTGAACCAGCGAAGCCCTCAAGGATCCCCTTCATCCTGTCAGAGACTCAGCTTAGCCTCCTCTCAGGAGAGCGGGTATCATGGCTTCAGATGCCTTATGTGACCAGGCTTTAGAGCGCCATACAGCTGTGGCACACTGTCACTGTCATAAGTATCAAAAGCACAGAGCCCGGGAGTAGCGTGCTCGCCTGGTCTGTACAATGTGATGGGTCAGATCCATGGCAAAACACACAGCACTGTGAGATATGGATGCCGAGTGGGAGCAGAAGTGGGAAGGGACGGGATGGATGGAGACTTAGGAGTGAGAGTGAGTTATCAAGTCAAAAGGAGACACAAAGTTAGGAGGGGGAGGTGCTGCAGTATGGGGGGCAGTGAGAGGGGAGGAAGGAAGAGGGGGTGTATATCATCATATTTCACTGCATATGTGTAGGAAATGCTCAAAAAAATATAAAAGAAAATGGAGCACCTGGTTGGTAGGAGGAATGCTTATTGGTAACAGAGACTCTGTTTGGGATGACACAAAAGCTTTGATTTAGATTCTGATGATGGCAAAACATTGTGAATATACTTAGTGTTATGGAGTTACACGTTTAAAAGTGTTAGAATCATAGACATCATAGTGTACGTATCGTATCTTATCCTAAGTTTAAAAACTGTTTTGAGAGAGAAAAAATAGACATGGCGTCTTAGAAGCTGAGGCACAAGGACCACCCTCATGAGTTCTAGGCCAGTCTTGGCTACAAAGTGATACCATTTTAAAATAAAAGAAAATAAATAAATTAAAAGGAAGAAAATGAAAGAATTGACCTGGAAGGTTTGGGGGGGGCATGGTCCCTGAGGTTGCAAAGTCCACTGTCATTCCCTTTTATTCCCCCACCCCATATTATTAGTTATTGCCCCAACCATCTTATTAATGCAGATAGTTCAGTCTTTATCTGCCCTGACCTGAGGCAGATGCATGACACCAGCCACAGGGAACCTGTGGAGACAGTTCTGTCACACAGGATAAAGTGGGGCAGTTTCTTTTCTTCTTTCTTTCTTTCTTTCTTTCTTTCTTTCTTTCTTTCTTTTTCTCTTTCTTTTTCTTTCTTCCTTTCTTTTTTTTTTGACACAGGGTTTCTCTGTGTAGCTTTGTAAACCAGGCTGGCCTCAAACTCAGAGATCCACCTGTCTCTGCCTCCCAAAATGCTGGGATTAAAGGCAGGCGAGTGCCACCACTGCCCAGCTAGAGTGGGGCTGTTTCTTGTCCCTACTTGTATACCACTCAGACCCTCCCCAGTCCCACAAGAGGACTCTTACTTCTTAGGGATCTTGTCCTCTTCAGCATCTGTGATGTCTGTGGCAAATGCTTTGACCTCAAAGTCAACCCCACAGCTCTGTGTGAGACAAGAGACAGGGCAGTGGTTAGCACCTCCCTTCCCAGGAGCTAGGACAGAAGGTCACACTTACAGGCAGATCTGTGACCCTAGCTTTTCGCCTTAGCTGTGTCTTCCTTGGGGTTGTTCCATGAAGACTAGCGGAGATGTGTACAAATCCAACATTGACAACAGCATGATGAGTGTCCCAGTTAGGGTTACTGTTGCTGTGATAAAGCACCATGGCCAGAAAAGCAAGCTGGAGAGGAAAGGGTTTACTTGGCTTACTCTTCCACATCACTGTTCATCACTGAAGGAAGTCAGGACAGGAACCCAAATAGGGCAGGAACCTGGAGGCAGGAGCTGATGCAGAGACCACGGAGGGCTGCTGCTTACTGGTTTGCTTCTCATGGTTTGCTCACAATGCTTTCTTATAGCACCCAGGGCCACAACACACAGTGGGCTGAACTCTTCCCCCATCAGTCACTAATTAAGAAAATGCTCTATAAGCTTGCCAACAGTACGATCTTATGAAGGCATTTTCTTAACTGAGGCTGCCTCCTCTCAGATGACTAGCCTGTGTCAAGTTGACACAAAATTGTTCAGTACAAGCTGAAAGTCCTACAGAAGGACAGCCTGTCAACATGCCTCCTGAGTCCTGGTAGGCCCATGCCTCCTTTTGCTTTGTTCACAAATATCTACCCTGCATAAGCTTCTGACTAAATGCTGCACACAGCAATGGGGACAGACACAGGCGTTCATGGGGCTGGGAGTGGTGTCCATGAATGTCCTGCCATGTTGCAAACACTCTGACCTCAGTGGCTCTCCCAAAGCCAACTCAAACCAGACAGCAATGGCTTACAATGGTTGATTTTTTTCCCCTTCAAAATGAGGTAAAACAGTAAGATCACATCATTTTCAAAATGAAAGAGAACTTTTAAGCCTGCACTGATGGAGTAAATACCATTTGCCTGGTATCTTCATCCCTTAGTTCCCTGTGTAGGCTCAGCACATCCTGGTCTCTGCCCAGAGAGAGAATCAGAGAAAGCAACTGTCTCTTGTGTCTCAGTGCTATAGGTCAATGGTGACAGCTGAGCCACAGACCTAAAGGTTCCGAGACTAAGGGACACAGCACCTCTTAACTACAGGTTGTAAAGAAACAAGTGTCACTTCCATCTTGTGTAGGCAGTGTGTAGGCAGCCCATTCTGTCACCTACCCAACCCACCCATATGTCCCACTCTGTGCTGGTCTCCGAACAAGCTACATACTTCTACAGGCCTCCCTGGGCTCTGTGGCTCCCCTAGGCTGAAGTACTCACCCTATAGCTGTGTAAAACTGAATAAAAACACAATAACATATCATGTGCTTTAAAATTTCTGCCCATATATTATGTACTGTTAATTATTATGTAATATTAAGACATTATATTGTATAACCATTATGTATTACAATAACTATAATTATAATAATAGTGATATATGTATATTTATATATATTTATCAAATAATCTCCTATGTGTTCCTCAAGCCTTCCAGCAACAACCAAATCCCCAACTCTAGGATACTGGTGGTTCCCAGCCCAGAAGTCTTCCCACCAAATTAACACACTCTCCCCCCTAAGAATAGAGGGGATGGAAGGGGCTCTGGCCTGCACAGTGTTGTAAAACTCCAGAAAAGTCATCTAAGAATCAGGATTTGGAGCCTCCTGGAAAGATCACTGGTGGAATTGACAAGGCTCAATTGTATTTTCTTAGTTCCTGGTCACCCTTTTTTTGAGTGATCACCTTATTCCTGATCTCAGCTGTCCTCAGTTTCCCTGAACCATGGCACTCAAATGTTTTACAAATAATATATACAGTGGGTCCAGAAAGCAGACACATATGTGTGAAACCACTCTCACAACATGACATTGACCTTTGTGACATGTGACCAGTTCTGAGGGCTTCCACCCGGTTCATTTAGTTCAGTTCTATTCTGTGCCGTTCCATCCCACCTGCTTTTTATTTTAACAACATTTCTGATCTATGAACCACCTGTGAGTGATGACAGCACACTGAGGAACACTGTCCTTACACGTGTCATTGTCAATCACTGTCCACTGTCCTTCATACTCAGCTCAGACCTGCCATCGTGGTCAATCTTGGGGCCCTGGCAACCCGGCAGCTACCCCCTTCTCCTCTGCTCTTCATTCCTTCCTAGTCCATCTTAGTCACACCCTCCCCTCCCTTCACAGCACATGCTTGACCAAGCTCAGATCCATTTTTGACCCTTTGTACACCTGACTCAGAGCCTGCTTGCTATTCAGGCCCTCTAGTGGTTCCTATGTCACTCTGGTTCAAACCCAAGTCCTCAAGACCTGACTTTCCTATGCTTTCCATCCTGACCTCAGCTCCTGGCTTCATCCCTTCTCCCCTCATTTAGCCAGAACCAACCTGAGCATGTTCCCTCTGCCACAGTGCCAGGGCCTCTCTCCCTGCAGAGTTGGGCTTTCCTCTTTCAGTACAGGGATTCTGACTTTAAATGTCGGCTGCTGTCGCTCTCTCACACAACCTGTGGCTCTCCAGAGTGCCTGTGGCCATCTAATATGTCCTGCGGTTGTGTATTTTTTGTTGCTGCCTGTGACTTTCCTTTAACATGTGAGACCTAGGAGGGTCTAATCTCTTGTTCACAAGAATGTTCATGGTTAATAATTGCTGGAGATGAGTGATGGGGTCATGGAGAGTTTTTACGTTGGGCCCTTTATCTTTGTGTTGAAATTTTCCATGATGAAAAGCTACTTTAAAGGTCTATTTGAAAGTCTGGCATGGTGGTTCATTACTATAATCCCAGCATTTGGAAGGTGGCAGCAGGAAGATTAGGAGTCCAAGACCAGTCTCAGTTACATAAGACCCAGCCTTAAAAACAAACATTCAAAAGCCTATTGAAGGAAGAAGAGCCTGTGGCATTTCTTCTTTAACTTACCTTCCCTACATCTTGTGGAGCTGGCTGCAACATCACTGAGCAGGGTAGGTAGTCAGGAAACTAGAAAGACGCAAATACAAAACCATGGCATTCAGAGGGGTTATTCTACGTGCAGTATGAAACCATCATGCAACATGAGCACAGAAAGACAGAATCCTGCTCCCCTAACACCCAGGACACTGGGTTGTTTCCAGAAAGCTCCAGCATGCCCAGAGACACACAAATGTGGCCTGTGTATCACAGGGGCCCCAGTCCTGCCCACTGGGATCAAATGTGTCTCATTGTCTGGTTTGCTCATCTCACTAGCCCATACCCTTTCAGAAATCTTTCTAACCATTTTTTACACACCATGGACTACAATTTCTCTCCACACTACTTCAGAGCTTTTACAATGCAAACTTCATGTAGCCATTCCTCTTTGTTGTACACTTATATGGTGTTTAATTTTTTTTTTTGCCACTATAAACAGTACAACAAGTCCGGCAGTGGTGGTGCATTTGGGAGGCAGAGGCAGGTGGGTCTCTGTGAGTTTGAGACTTTACAAAGTGAGTTCCAGGACAGTCAGAGTTTTTACACAGAAAAACCCCATCTTGAAAAGCCAAAAACAAACAAACAACAAAACCCCCAAAACAATATCACCATAAATACACATCTTCAAACCCTTTAGTCCAGTTTTAGCCAATTAATGCTATGTGTTACATAGCTAGAAGGGGAACCATCAGATTAGATCGTATTTTTGAGGAGGGGACACAGGATCTTTTTCTATTTAGTCCATGCTGGCCTCAACCTTTCAATTATCCTGCCTCTGCTTCCATATTGCTGAGATTCCCGTTTTCATGGCTGAAAAAAAATCCCACATTTTTAAAAGATTTATTATTTCTTTTTTTCTGTTTTTAGAGTCAGGGTTTCTCTGTGGCTTTGGAGGCTGTCCTGGAACTAGCTCTTGTAGACCAGGCTGGTCTCGAACTCACAGAGATCCTCCTGCCTCTGCCTCCTGAGTGCTGGGATTAAAGGTGTGTGCCCGGCTAAAAGATTTACTACTTTTAAATGTTATGTGTATGAGTGTTTTGCCTGTATGTATATATGTGTACTGCATGTGCACTGGATACTTATGGAGGCCAAAAGAGAGTGATGGAACCTCTGAAGCTGGAGATACAGGTAGGTGCAAGCTGCCACTCACGCCCTGGTCCTCTACAAGTGCAGCTAACCTCTGGGCCATCTCTCTAACCCTTGGCTGTTTTTTTTTTTTTTTTTTTTTTTTTTTTTTTTTTTGCCTTTCTGTGCAGGGGACCAAATCCAAAAACCAAATTAGTACATGCTAGACAAGTGTTCCAGCACCAAACTATATCTCCAGCACTTAAAGATCTTATTTCATTTCTAGCCAAGCATGCTGGCTCATGCCTTTAATCCCAGAAACTGGGAGACAGAGGCAGAAGGATCTGAGTTTGAGGGCAGCCTGGTATTGTGGAATGTTATTTTAAGATGTGTTACATTTGTTTATGCTGTGGGACATTTGTTTTAATGATGCAAAAATGTGTTGCGTGGGGCTGGAGAGATGGCTCAGAGGTTAAGAGAACTGACTGCTCTTCCAGAAGTCCTGAGTTCAATTCCCAGCAACCATCTATAATGAGATCTGGTGCTCTCTTCAGACATGCAGGGATACATGCAGACAGAATGTTGTATACATAATAAATAAATCTTTTAAAAAAATGCATTGCGTTCTTTTATGTTGCATTTGTTTAACTCTGTGAAGCTGTGTTACTTTGCCTGCCTAAAACACCTTAATGGTCTAATAAAAAGCTGACTGGTCAATAGCTAGGCAGGAGAGAGGATAGGCATGGCTTGCAGGCAGAGAGAATAAATAGGAAAAAATGAGAGAAAAAAAATCAAGGAGAAAGAAAAGAAGAAGCCAGCCACTCAGCTACATGGCAAGTAAAGAAAGGTATACAGGAATAGGAAAGGAAAAGCCCAGAAATAAAAGATATATGGGATAATTTAAGTTAAGAAAGGCTAGCAAGGCAGGGCAGTGGTGGTGCATGCCTTTAATCCCAGCACTTGAGAGGCAGAGACAGGAGCTAGTTCTAGGACAGCTTCCAAAGTCACAGAGAAACCCTGTCTTGAAAAACCAAAAAGAAAGAAAAGAAAGGAAGAAAGGAAGAAAGGGTTGGCAAGAAACAAGCCAAGCTAAGTAAGGCTGGGCATTTTTAAGTAAAACTATGACTCCATGTGTGTGATTTATTTGTGAGCTGGATGGTGGTCCCCAAAAGAGCAAAAGAGTAAAAAACACACAAGTCTTTCTACACAGTGAGCTCCAGGACAGCCTGGAAAACCTGTCTCAAAAAAAATTCCCATTTCTAAAGATATTTTTGATTTTCTTTTTTGGGGGCAGGGTTGGTGGTTGGGGTTGAAACAGGGTTTCTTTGTGTGCCCTGGCTGTCCTATGTAGAACTTGCTGTGCAGACCAAACTGGCCTCAAACTCAGCAATCCACCTGTGTCTACCTCCCAAATGCTGATATTAAATATGTGTGCCACTACATCTGGCCTAATTTTTTTTTGTATTTTTGAAACAGAGTCTCTCTATGTGGCCCTGGTTGACTTGGAACCCACTATGTAGATAAGGCTGGCCTTGAACTCACAGAGATCCTCCTTTGTTTGCATCCTGAGTGCTAGAATTGAAGACATGCACCAACATACCTGGCCTCTAGCAGTTTTTTATATGCATTGACATGCACCAAAAAAAGTTATGCCACTTCAGGTTCTCGGCACAGATGCATAGGATCACCCAGGACTAAATGAATTTGTTTGTTTTGATTTTCAGGACTGAGTTTCTCTGTATAGTCCTGGAACACGCTCTGTAGATCAGGCTGACCTCAAACTCAGAGACCCACTTGTCTCTACTTCCCGAATGCTGGAATTAAAGGCCATGCATGGCTAAATAATCTTTTGAAAATGAATTTATATTAAAAGTTGTGGTAACATAGGATGGCATAAAATTTTAGCATTTTTGCTAATTTCAATGCATGCTTCATTGTGATTAAATCTGTGCACACTACTCCATAGCAGTTACCACCATTTGTCTGCAGAGTCTTTCCATCAACCCAAAGAGAAGCTCTATCCATAGAGCCTGAAGGCCCTGTCATCCTCCCCAACACGCCAGTAGACCTGGTCTCCTACTTTCTGTTTAAATTAGTGGGGCTATGCCCATTGCTTCAAGGAAGTGTGACTGTATAATGCTGTTTTCCTTTTGTGTCTGGCTTCTCTTATATGTCATCATGTTTTTGGGGTTCACCCATGACCCGACTTGGACAGTGCTTCATGACTTTTTAAGGCTGAATGAACCCCAGCACTTTGGAGGCACAAGTGTCAATAAGATAGTAACTGTGCAACCAGAAAGGGCCACAGAAGCTTCTCCATCCCCAGCTCTTGCCCAGGACTTGGATTTCCCTGGGTGATACATGGGCCTCAGAGAAGTGAGGGGACAGACTAAGGAGGCCCTGATTCGATTCCCAGTACCATGTGGGGGTGCAGAGGTGGGGGCAAAATGGTAAAGGATGGCACTTGTTCTACCAAGACCTCCTGTCCCATAGGGGACTCTTGCTTGCTTAGAACTCCCTGGGGCCAACTGGGGGTCACGGCTACCAGTTTCTTTTTATAGCTGAATGAGAGAAGACAGAACACATACTCATCTAATTAGGCAGTCAGATGAAGGAAAATATCCAAAGGGCAGGTTGAAATGGTGCCTTCAGAGGCAGGGAGGCTATTTTCAAAGACTTAAAAACAGACAATCACAGACTGTGCAATCTAGAATTGCTTTCAAGGGTACAATTTACAGGCCCACAGATGTGAAATCCTCCCTCTGGCCCCTTCTCTTTGCCCCATTCCCTTTGTAAGGTACTGTGGATGAAGTAGGCAGGCCTGGGAGACGGACAGGGTAAGGAGAGCTCACCGTGAGCAGAAATGGGTATGTGTTGTCTCCCAGTTTCTTGAGCAGGCTCTCCTGAAGTTTGGTAGGGGCACTCATGGCCCCAACAGGAGGGTATACCTGGACCCGAGAAAAGTATAGGTCCCTGCGGAAGGTCAGGCCAATCACGTCAATGTCCTCCTGGCCGTAGCGGAAGGCACAAGTCAGAGTGACGTACACTGGGAAGAAGATGCACACAGGTTAGACCTGGTCTGTTGCACAGGCCCATCTACCTCAGCTATTTCCACTGGGTTGAGCCAGCAACAGAGTAGCCACCCTACACTGTCTGCCCCAGGGTTCCAGGCTTTGCTGCCCAGAAGGAATGGGGCTGGGATAATAATACCATGCAGCTGGCTGACACATTTTGGGAGAATCAGCACGTTCCTAGGGTTAGAGTTCATTATCCTAAAAAGGACTCTCACAGGATTGGAAGGCATCTCCCTGGCAACCACATTATTTTGTTAGGATGGTAGAAATCTGCAGACAGGGCTGACAAGATGGCTAATTGAGCAAAAGTGTCTGCAAGTGTCTGCGCCAAGCCTGACACCCAAAGTCAATCTCGGGGACCCACATGGTGGCGGGAGGAAACCAACTCTCCACAAGTTGTCCTCTGACTTCCACAGGTGTTCCCTAGTGCTTATGTGCCCATCACATACATACATACATACACACAGAGAGACACACAGACAGTTACACACTACATCAGTAAAAGTGTAATAAATGTTTAAAAACATGTGGACAGACAACACGTACAGTCCACCTGTCCTTACTGTTTTCTCTCTCCCACCCTCCCTCTACCTGGTCCACCAGCTTGGGGATCTGGAGTTGGATGTCTGAAATGGTGCTAACTTGCTTGCTTGGGTTAGAGAGGGCAGTTTGTCTGGAGAGACAGGGAAACAGTGCTGGAAGCAAAACAGACATGTGCCTGACCCATATGGAGGCTGAGGGAACAGGCAAAGGCCTGGGCCAGGCAGGGAGACAAAATCAAGCCCAAGAAGTCTCATTTATAGTCTTTGTACAGTGCCTTGGAAGCACATTAAGCATGCTCCAAATCACCACTTCCCAAAATTCTGTCTGATTAAAGACAGCCTGTGCCCAGTGTATGAAAGTTCACTTCAAGTTCTTTGAAGACAGGAAGTGCCCAGTTCTCCATCGCCAGGCTTACCAAAAGTGGTACCTCAAGCCCTCTAGCTTTGCCTGAGAACTCTTTCTGTGCCAGTTCTGAGGCCAGCTGCCCTTTAACCACGGACTCAGATGAACCACTAACCACTTGTTCATCCTTCCTTTGAGGCAGTATCCTAGAAAGTTGCCCACAGCAGGCCTGGATTTCTGCTTGCACCCACTCAGCTGTGGTTTCCCCTGATAACTGAATCCCTATGGTAAAGGGCAGGGACCAGTTGTGTTCTAACCAGACAGCAGCAGAGCACCCAGGAAGGTGAGGAAATAGAGAATGATTTTCTGCTGTCCCTGCCTTGCTCCCCTCTCACCCCCCCACACTGTTGCTAGCCCACACCTGACATATTCTAGTGGGTACATCCAAGGTTTAGAACAATGCCTTGTGGTTGCCAGTAGCAACCACTCCAAAGGCATATTTAGAATGGAACTGAGTCAGCGACATTATCATAAGCATAGCTTGAATCTGTTCTAATTCAGTTTCTGCGACTGTCATTAGTAACAAATGGCTTGCCACACACATCACAAGTGCCAGAGATTTCAAGGGCACTGTGATACTGTGGCACAGAACTTTGCAAGGAAGCAGAAAAATCAACTCTTGCCTCTCAGTAGGCATGGTTGCCTACATGAAAGTCAGAAGGATGGGCAGGGAGGATGAGTAAGGGGCTCAGCTCACCTTTCTTCCCCTTCACAAGCTCAGGATCCACCAATACCACACCATCTAAACCAAAGGAGAGCAAACCAACAGAGTGAGATCACGAAAATCAGACATCTGGCCTTAAAGCTGTATACAATATGGCGTCTTCTGTTTTTACTTTTGGAGGCGGGAGGTTGAAACAGAGTCTCGTGTAGCCCAGGCTAGCCTGGGATTTGTTCTGTAGGTAGCTAAGGATGACCATACACAAGTAATCCTCCTGCCTCCATTCCTGATTTACCAAACCAGTTTGCTTTTTATTGTTTTTAACGAATAGTAACTTTTTATTAGGGGCTCAGCGGTTATGAACACTTGCTGCTCTCTCACAGGACCTGGGTTTGGTCCCCAGCACCCATGTGGCAACACACAAATGTCTATAGCTCAATTTCAGAGGAGCCAACACCTCTTCTGTCCTCCAGGTGCTCATGATGCATTGGTGCACACACGTGCATGCAGGCCCACACACTTACACATAAAAGAATAAGAATATTAATTTTAAAATGTGGCTCTGGGATCAAATTCAGATCGTGAGTCTTGGCAGCCAGCATCCTACCCACTGAGAGAGTGTTTATTCTCAGTGCTTAAAACTGCCAATTTCCCTCATACTTCTTTCAAATGTTTGACAGATAGTGACAAGCTTATCAAGCCAGAGGAAGTTGCAAAGCCAGTACAGAGGGCTCCGGTATCCTTTATCCAGTTGCCTCTTGTGCTTACAGCTTACATACAGTGTTAAATGAGGACATGGACAAGCTCTTGATGGGTGTGTATGCTTCTGGGCTACTTTATCACAGGCGACCTGTGTGACAACAACCACAGTCTATATTTAGAATTGTCCTGGCATTATAAAAGTCTCCTTTGGGCTCTCTTATGCCACCCATCCTTGCTCCCACCATGCTCAGCCCCTGGCAAGGACTGTCTGTAGAATTTTGTCATCTTCAGAATATTATGTAAGTGGAATCATGAGGTCCATGCCCCTTTGATATTTCTCTTGTTATCCAGCATAACACCTTAGACATCTGTTTTTTTGTTTTTCGAGACAGGGTTTCTCCGTGGCTTTGGAGGCTGTCCTGGAACTAGCTCTTGTAGACCAGGCTGGTCTCGAACTCACAGAGATTCGCCTGCCTCTGCCTCCCGAGTGCTGGGATTAAAGGCGTGCACCACCACCGCTTGGCTCGCCTTAGACATCTGTAAGATGTTGCAGGTATCAACAGCTCACACGCCTTACATTTCTTCTTTCTTTCTTTTTTCTTTGAGAAAGGGTCTTTCCTATGCAGCCCAGGCTGACCTCAATTTCTCAATCTTCCTGCTTCGGTTTCCCAAGTGCTGGGATTGGAGGAAGATGCCATAACAACCAGCTGCTTGTTCTTTCTTATGATTAATAAGTAGTCCTTGGTATGGATTTACCATACTTTGTTTAACCTTATTCATCTACTGAAGAGAGATTTTAGTACTTTCTGGTTTGGAGCTGCTATGAACAGCCATGTCCCAGCAAGGTTTTGTATGCACAGTTCTCACTTCTCAATAAATACCCGGGAGTGCCATTCTTGGGTCTTATGGTAAGTGTGTATTTAGTTCTTAAAGAAACTGCCAAACTGCTTTCCTGGTGGCTGCAGCACTATACACTCACACCAGCGTCTACAGGTGCCAATTCCTTGGCATCTTCATCATTACTGACATTGTCACTGCCCGTTATTTTGGCCATTTTTCTTTTCACATTTGAAAAATCAAAATATATTGGTTTTGTGTCAGGCAAACCACATATAGGAACAGTTTCTTTTTCTGTATATGGTTGGATTCCTAGGTGTTTCCTAGAGTCTAGGTGGCTCTGGAGATAGAAGAAATGGCTAGTCCAGAAATACATATATAGGAGCTATCACCAGTGGTTTTTGGGCCCTTCCTCCCTTAGGCCCAAGGATTTAAAGAGGACAGTTCCCGTTGTCTCTGGCTTCTCCAACCCCCTTATTTCAGTCATCTTCTCTCCCGAAAAACCTCCTTAGAGTCTTTCTGTGCCTCTTTCACATCAGTTTGTGGGTACAGTCTATCACAATGGGGCTCAAGGCGGCTAGACACATTGCATACACAGTCGAGAGCAGAGAGATCATTTTTTTCCTTAGTACTAAAGATTGAGCCCAAGGCCTTGCACTAAGCAAGTGCTGGTTTATAAACCAGCCCTTTGCTTTTTTTTTTTTTTTTTTTTAATTTGAAGGGCCAGCAAGATGGCTTAGTGGGTAAAGATGCTGAACACTCCTGGCAACCTGAGTTCAATTCATGGAACCACCACAAAGGTACAAGAGAAGTAACTACATGAAATTGTTCACTGACCACCACACATATGCTCTCCCTACAAATAAATAAGTAACTGTAAAAATAAATTGCTGCTGGTCAACCAGCAGCCACTTGATGACATTTTAATTTGTATCACTTTGATTAGATTATTAGTGAGATTGATTTTTGAAAAGATTTTCTGTGTGTGTGTGTGTGTGTGTGTGTGTGTGTGTGTGTGTGTGTGTTTGCCTGTATGTATGAATGCATGCCACCTACATGTACTATGTACAGAGGCAAGAAGGGGGCATTATATGTTCTGGAGATAGAGTAACAGATGACTGTGAGCTGCCATGTGGTTGCTGGGAATTAAACTCAGGTCCTCTGCAAGAGCAGACAGTGCTCTTAACTTCCGAGCCATCTCTCCAGCATGAGACCCATCTTTGTTTGTTTGTTTGTTTGTTTTGAGAGAAGGTTTCTCTATGTAGCCCTCCATGGCTTATTATGTAGACCAGGCTGTCTTTGACTTCATAGAGATCCTCCTGCCTCTGCCTCCCAAGTTCTGGGATTAAAGGAGTGTGCCACCATGCCACTGCACCACTGTGCCTGGCTGGAAATCCATTTTTTTATGTTAATGAAAAACTAGTCATTGTCTAATGACTTAAAGAAAAACCAGAATTAAATTTTCCTCCAAATTCAACTTACCTACAGGCTCTACTTGGCTGACGTGGTCAACATAGTCTCTCTTCCCCAGGTAGATAGTCACCTGTGGAAGGAAGGAAGGCATTCACTTGGAAGTCAAAACCCCCGAGTCTTTCCAGTAGTGTTTTTCTCTTCTTCTTAGTCAGTGCTCAGCAGCCACACACATGCAAGACAAGTGCTCCACTTTGGAGCCTCAACCCTTCCCATTAGTCTTCAATAGAGGAGTTGTGTGGCTCCACCACTGCTCTGTGGCTTCCTTCTCTCCTAACTGTGGTGAAGATGGTTCATTCAAAGGGCAGGGGCTGTCTTCCAGCCCTATATCAGCTCCAAGGAATTCTTTCCACTCTGTTCTATTCTTCCCATCAAGCCCAGGTCTGTAAACAACCAGGTACATCTGACAGGTCAGCCCATATATTTATGGAAGGTTATGCCTATGGACACAGTCAGCTTTATATTTCTAGTTGTGTTTTGAAAGGCCCTATTCAGGATTTCTGAACTAGGTAAAGAAGTAAGAATTCCAGAGGAGCCTGAAATCCCATTGGGTGAGCTCTGCACAGGTAAACCAGCAACCCTGCGCTGAGGAAGGAGGTAGTGGAGCTCAGTTGGTGGGGACACTGTTAGTATTCAGGCATCTGTACTGGCCCATCCTTGGGGTTCTGACAGGATATGCCCTCAGCTGCAGCCACTAAGAGCACCACCTGCGCACATTCACTGTGTTCCCTTTTAAAAGGGTCCTGCCCACCTCCCATCCTTCTCTCTTTCTCTCCCTCTCTCTGTCCCCCCCTCTTCTTTCCTTTCTCCTCTCTCCTGCTACTCCTGTCTCCAGAGACTGGTCTCCCCTCTCCTTTCCCCCTTTTTTATGATCCCTTTTCCTAATAAAAACCCCCTCAGGTTGAACCCTGTCGCATGGTGTCTTTCCTGTGCTGCTTTTCTTAAATTACAATAGATACTACCATTCTCCTGGTAGCTATTCCCCTCACCTATTCTGTAGGGGAGCAGGGAGCAGCTTCCATGCTGTTCACTGCTCGACCAGAGGACCACAAATGCCTTGAGATGAGTATCTAGAGCAGTGGTCTCAACCTTCCTAATGCTGTGACCCTTTAATACAGTTCCTTGTGTTGTGGTGAACCCCAACCATAAAATTATTTTCATTGCTACTTCATAACTGTAATTTTCCTACTGTTATGGATTGCAATATAAATATCTGTTTTCCAATGATCTTAGGCAAGACCCCTGTGAAAGAGTCGTTCAACCCCCACCCCCAAAGGGGTGGCAACCCACAGGTTGAGAACTGCTGATCCACAATGTTCTATGCCCCTTTCAGCCTTCTCAGTATTTACTATAGCCTTTGTACATAGAGGGATTCAATAGGGCTTGCTAAGTACACCAATGATCAAAATCATGCATCCTGGCTAGCCCTGTTTCTCTAGGCCTCTCAAGTATACGTTTTTATTTCTGCAAACAATCCAAATGATTTTTGACATTAAATCTTGTCTTATACTCAATCCTCTACAGTGTATCATTTGTCCCCAGATGGCTTCATTTGCATGATTGATGCTGGAGGTTGTATCAAGCAAATGTCTCTTTGTCCCTGTTAACAGAGAAGATCCCATGAGAGACCTTGAAAATCTGTGCCCAGGGCTTCTGCAGGCCTCAGCCACCTAGGACGGGTGGGAGCTGGGCATAGGATGCAGGGCACACATTGCAAAGTGTGATGCAGCAAGTGCCAAGCTTCACCCTCTAGACCAGAGTTCCACTGCGAGGCTAGCCCAGCTGACTCACCCAGTGAACTCCCCGGCCCTCTGCTTTCTATGTAGGATGGACCCAAAAGTAGAGGGGAAGAAGAGGGGGAGCTGGTGTCTGTCCCCTGCTTTCCTTCCTGGCCTGTGGCTGGCATGGTCACAGTTCCTGGAAGGTGGCCCTGTTGGCTTCTAGGTTGTGAAACCTGCTAGATACCCCATCCCTTCAGCAGGAAAGCACCTGTGTCCAGGGTTACAGGCCCAATCCAGACTGGGTGGGACTAAGGTTCCCCAGTGCTAGTAGACCTTGAGTTTTACCCAGAGGCACAAACTTTCCTCATAGCAATCCATTTCTGTCCTTGCAGGGACCCTAACATGTGGCCACCTCCTAATCCGTAGATGTGCCTGCTGCCCGCCACACATACCTAGGGAATAGCATCCAGTTCCTTGAAAGTGGTCAACAGGATCCCTACTTCTGGGCTCCAGGCCCCTCTGCCCTCATCTTGGCCTTGACCATGATAGCTCTGTTGAACCCATCTGTTCCTGCTGCCTGCACAGCAAGGGAAGGCCCTTCAGCCACATCTCTAGCTGAGGAGGCCCTACCCATGCTTCAAGAGAGCAGTTTGGCACCGTAAATCCCTTGCATCTCAGCATACTCTGGCTCCCCCTGTGTTATGTTGAGACTGTGTTTCTCATTTTGTAGCAAAGCTATCCTAGAATGCACGGTATAGTTGACTTCAAACCCCCCAACTCAGCCTCTCAAGTGCTGAAATTAGGGACACCAGTCATCATGCCTAACATCTTTCAGCCCATGACACCACAGGAACATTCAACCCCATCCCCACATATGCCCCATCTGGCTTCAGGACTATGGGGCCTCACCATACACCTGGTCTATGAGGACGAACCTCTCCAGGTTGCTACCTTTAGGTTTGAGGTAAGTGGTGGGAAGAGGCAGGCAAAGGGTATGGTCGGGAAGCAGGCAGGAAGCTCTGCCTTTGAAGGAGGCTCTACCTGAGCAGACCACACAGGAAGTGGCCGGACAACAGGAAGGAGTGGCTCTCTGGGCAAAAGTGAAGGAAAGATGCCAAAGTGAGGAGAATGTCTTTGGAGTCAGCAATGGCCTCCTTTGTATCGGGTGGCCACTGTGTGAGGATGAAGGCTGAGTGAGGCAAGGTCTTTAGGACTCGGGCCTGGGGAGCCCAGGAAGATGCCCTGGCACAACCAGGTGCCACCCTAGATACTCTGGTCATTTCAAACACAAAACAGCTCTGGAAGATTAGCCCTGTCTTGTGCAGACACTGAGACCTGGGTCCTGCTGGAGGCTGAGTGGAGAATTAGCAAGGGAAAGCCAGGCAGGCAGCCTCTTTATGGTTGGAGAAAGAGCACTGATGACTCTCTAGGAGGATGAAGGTGAGTACATGGGGGGGGGGCATTTTCTTCTCCCAAGCTTTGGCTGAAAGGGAGAGAGCTGGAGACGGAGGCCAAGGGAGCTGTTGATAGCCATTATAAGATGCAGGCTATTAAGACATTTTTATTTTATTTTCATTATTTATTTTTTGTTTTGTTTTTAGAAATAGGGTTTCTCAATGGGCATTGGTGGCACACGCCTTTAATCCCAGCACTCGAGAGGCAGGGGCAGGGGGATCTCTGTGAGTTCAAGACCAGCTTGGTCTACAGAGCAAGGTCTAGGAAAAGCTATCTAAAAAAACAAAAAAACCCTGTCCCAAAAACCAAAAAAAGGGGGGGGGGGGGGAAGAGAAAGGGGAAGGGTTTCTCTGTGTAGCTTTGGAGCCTGTCCTAGAACTTGCTTTGTAGACCAGGCTGGCCTCAAACTCATTCACTTGCCTCTGCCTCCCAAGTAGAGGGATTAAAGGTGTGTGCTATCAAACCCAGCTACAAACTGTTCTCACCCTGGGAAAGGCTGGCGATTCAATCCATACTAGACGAGACTAAGTTCCTGCTCCTGGTGGCAGATCATGAGGCTTCCAGGGATGAGTGACGACTCTGAACTCAGTTGGGAACAAGGCCACCCTTCTACTGCCCTGGAAATGAATGGCAAGGACAGGAACAGATGGAGAAGGGTGGCCTTGTGAAACCAACAGGCTCTGGCAACCCACCCACAACACAGCACACCTTCTTCCTGGCTGGAAGAGGCAGTCCTGCCCAAGGTCCACACCATCCTCTGAGGTAGCATGCTCACAGGAGGCCAGCTCTAATGCGTGATTTCTTTTTCCCTCTTCTCTCCTCTCCCCCAACTTTTGTTTTTTTAGAGACAGGCTTTTCTCCATGTAACAGCCATGGAACTCTCTTTGTAATGCAAGCTGGCCTCAAACTCAGAGATCCTCCTGCCTATGCTTTCCAAGTGCTGGGATTAAAGGCATGTGCCACCACAGCCCGGCTGTTCATTTTTGTTTTTATGTGTATGATTGTTTTGCCTGCATGTATGTATGTATGTATGTATGTATGTATGTATGTATGTATGCATGCATGCATGCATGCATGTATACGATGTATGTGCCTAGTGCTGGCAGAAGCTGGAAGAAGGCATCTGATCCCCTAGAACCTGTGTTATGGTTGTTAGTTACCACGTGTTTGCTGGCAGCTGAACCCAGGTCCTCTGCAAAAGCAACAAGTGCTCTTAACTGTTAAGCCATCACTCCAGTCAGCCAGCCCAAGATCCTTAAGAGTGCTGAAATCACAAGTGTGTGCTGCCACTTCTGGCTCAGGGAATGCTTCTTGATGAGCATCTAATTCCTTTGACTTGTGATTGACTTAGTGTAGGCAGGTAACTCAGGCCCACCCAATGAATAAAAGAGACAAGTCTTCTGGAGAGCTCCTGGGAATGGTTTCTTCATCTTTAAGAAAAATCCTAAGGGTCACTCATCTCTCTGTGCTTCCTGCCTAAGGATCCACCACTTCATGCTCCTGACACCAGGCCAGCTCCACTATGCTGGGCTGTACCCTCAAACCATGATCCAAAGTGATCTGGGGTGCTTACCACTGGCCTGAGGATATCACAGAAGAGAGAAATGACTGCAGAAGCCAAGCACCCCATGACTGGGGCATACAGAGGCTGCCATTGAAAACCCCAGTGTGCTGAGCGGTGGTAGCACATGCTTTTAATTCCAGCACTTGGGAGGCAGAGGCAGGCTGATCTCTTTGAGTTCGAGGCCAGCCTGGTCTACAGAGCAAGTTCTAGGACAGGCTCCAAAAGAGAAACCCTGTCTTGAAAACAAAACAAAACAAAACAAAACAAAACAACACTAGTACATAAAACATTAATTGATGGATTCTCCTCCACTCTGAACCTTGAACCAGCAAAAATACTAAGCAGGGCCTGGCAGCACATGCACTAGTTTCTCAGGAAGCCAAGGCTGGAGGAGTCCAAGTTCAAGCCTGGGAGATTTCATGAAATTCTGTCTCAAAATAGAACTAAAATTGGAGATACATATCAGTGGTGGGGTGCTGGCCTACCTTGTATAAGGCCCTAAGTTCAAATCCCTGGTACCACAGGAGGGAGGGAGAGAGGGAAGAAGGGAGGGAAAGAGGAAATAAATTTCTTGGATCAAATGTCTGTTTAGAGATTGGGTGCATTTCAAGGGATGTGGCCATGGACAATGGATGTCTGTTAGGTATTAGAGGGAAATGTTAGGGGAAAATGTTAAGTGACTGGAGAAACCAGCACAAAGTGGTTCCTTTCCTATCAGAAGTGCAGGTGAAAAGGACTGGACAGACACAGTGGGAATAAGTGTTGGAGAATGAAAAGATATAGGGTACCAAAGGTATCATCACAAAGAAGCCAAGTGCTTGATGAAAATATGACACTTCTGGCCAACAGAGCTGCATGCAGGAAGAGAGTGTGTGAAAGCCTGATTCCTTTGTGAGGCACCATAAGGAAATCAGCTAGTAGATCTAGGCAGTTCTGCACTGTCCATTAGGTAGCTACTAGACACAGCAGCCTCAGTGTGCTTTCAGATTGGCATGCACTGTAACACACAACACATTTCCATAACTTACAAGGAAGAGTAACAAGGTTGGGGTGGGACAATGGGACTGAGAGATGGTGGGTTGCAGGATCCATGGGTGTTCTCGGTCCTCTCTCACTGATTGCTGGACACAGAGCATCCCTGGGCCCCATGGTAGCTGGATGTTGATCATGATCCTATTATTCTTACAATAACATCCAGGAAGCCACTCTCTTCTGTGCCACTTACCGACTTGTCCCGAGAGACCTTCTTGAAGATGACTTGGGATTTATTGGTCTTTACACAGGCCGCCATGTCGTCTGTCCCTTGGGAGGTATGTCAGGTTGGAGGGCTGGGAAAGTACAATGATCCCAAACAAAGTTAAGGACACTCTAGACATAAAGCTTACTCCTGAGACCCCTCCCTTGGACATTCCTCCTACATGCTCCAGCATCCGGCCTGATGAAATCGTCTGTCTGACTGGTTGCACTTCACTGTAGTGTGCATTTAAAAATATTTCATTTTCATTTATGTGTATGTGTGCCACATGTGTGCAGATGCCTGTAGAGGCCAGAAGAGGGTGATGGCTCTCTCGAAGCTGACCTAAGTGCTGGGAACCAAACTCATGTCTTCTGGAAGAGAAGCAAGCACTTTTAACTGCTGAACCAGTACCCCCCACCCTTGAAATGGGATCTCACTACGTAGCCCTAGCTGGCCCGAAATTCACTATGTAGACCAGACAGGCCTCAGACTCATAGAGAGCCACCTGCCTCTGCTTCCGGAGAGCTTGGATTAAAGGCGTGCGCCACCACGCCTGGCCCAGTGTATATTTGGTGTGTTCTGTTTTTCTTGGTAAGCTTCAAACATTTCAGTAAACTTCACCAGCTACATTCTAATGAAGTTTTGCTTTTTCAGATTAAGTGTTGGTCACATATACTTGTCAGGTCACATCTAAAATGCTGTCATACCAGGTATGGTGACTTGTCATCTCAACACTGCAGAGATAGACCTAGACTGCAGAGAATTTGAAGCCAGCCTGGTCTACATAGCGAGTTCCAAGACAGTCAGGGTTGCATAGTCAAGAATCTGTCTCAACCAAACCAAACCAAACCAAACCAAACCAAACCAAACCAAACAACTTTATCATGTTGAGATCCTTTCTTCTCTCCTCTTCTTCTCCCTCCTCATCTCATTATGTGGCCCAGGTTAGCTTCAAACTGGCAAGTGCCAGTATTCCAGGTGTGGGTCACCACACCTGGCTTTTCTGTGCCTTATGGTAAGCATACAGGAGATGTTTCCAAAACACACAAGACTGCTCCCCAAATGCAGTTGTCAGGGGCATATGAGACCCCCACAGTTCCATCAAGAAAGCCTTTTCCCCCACCCAATGTATTTGTTCCCACAATAGTCAAGCTATCTCATGGTCTAGGATTGAATGCCCTCCAAGTTTCTTTTCCAAGCAAAGTCCTGTGGAAGTAAGAGGTGACAACCCCCCGTGTTCTGCCTTGCAGAAGCATGCCTGTCCTTGCGGCTGCCTGTGTCCACCCTGGTTTCTGAAAATGCTTGGGTTTGGCTCTCACTTACCTTGGGATTTGTCACCAACCAGTTGGGATAGCCAGGGAGGTGGAGAGCGGGTCCCTGTGTTTTCAGATGGTGAACAGCCAGCTCTCGGAAGCAACTGGTGAAGCTCCACCAGATGACCCCACAGGGCAAGGGTGAGGCCCCTGGCTGCCACGTGGGGAATTTGTAGGGATCTGTGGGATGGCCAGCACTGAGGTCTCAGTGTCTAAAAGCCAAATCAGATTTGAGGAGCAGGGAGGAGATTGGATTAGTGAGCTGACAGATTGGCCATTTCAGCAGTTCTAAGCATTAGCTGGGAGCTCCAATCTCCTGAGGATCCCAAAGATGCGAGAGCCATCCAGTTGGCCTGGGGAAGGTGCAGGGGGAGGAACAGCTAATTCAAAGCTATTTTTAAAAGTCCTAAACCTCTTTGGGTTCTGGAAATAGATAGCTTATCCCTTCGCTCCTCACCATCATCAGGAAGGGGGATATTCAAGTGACAGACATGATTAAGCTCAGCAGGCATTAAGGCCTCATTAAAGGAAAAGGTCAAGGAGAAATGTCAACCTAGGGCTGAGCCGCACGTGTCCCTCTTCTGCACACCACATCAAGAGTCCTATGGGCCCTCTATCTTCCTACACCCTTACATGCCCAGTATGGGTCCACACACCACCTGGGCTTCCCCCGGGCAGTAATGAGTCCACGTCTGATGGGCATCCATCTCTCCTTCCAGACCTTCTTAGTCCTGAGCCATCAGTTCCCCTGTCACCCTTGCAAGTAGACATACATGAGCCTTCTACCTGGGTCCTTCCAAGTTTGACCAGATGTCATTTTCTCAAGGAACCAGGCCAGTTGCCTTCACCTTTACTAGTGGCTCTGCTTCCTTTTTAGACTCTGGACCTGTAAGGCAGACAGCCCATCACATTGCGTTTCCCTCACTCTGAGGGGAGCAATCCACACTCCCCCCAAACCCTCAGGGAATGAGAGTCTGGAATGCTAAGGCCACTTACTCACCTATATAGTGGGATTCACTCTAGGAATAAAACAGGAGCAATGGAAGGCGTATTGTGTGTGACACCTGGGGTGTCAGATTCTGTCCCCCAATTTGGTGGCTTTCAATCCCCCCTGGATAATACCTGCCAGGTCCTGGCCTTGTTTCTTACACTCTGCCCACAGCCATTGTCTGGTCTGCTGCCTTACCTTGATGTCTGGAAACCTGCCTTTTCTCTTTCCCTTTTGCTGCTGCTCCTCCACCTCAGTCCCCAACACACAACCAAAGGAGGACTTGGGACTCCATACACTTAGCAAGTCAAGTTCCTGGACTGCTCATGATATAGGGAAGTAGTTACCATGGTGATGGCTTTGATGGTAGTATTTCCACACATCTGTCGCTGTACTTCATTCTGTCTCATTCCCGGTCTCCCATAAGCTCTCCTTTGTGACCCCTTTACTTAGTTTTACCTAAAACTGCCAAAGCTTTTAATTCCCAAGGGAAAAACTTGATAGCTATTTGTATTACTTTGAAATAGGGTCATGTGCCGGGCACACCTTTAATCCCAGCACTCAGGAGGCAGAGGCAGGAGGATCTCTGTGAGTTCGAGACCAGCCTGGTCTACAAGAGCTAGTTCCAGGACAGCCTCCAAAGCCACAGAGAAACCCTGTCTTGAAAAACAAACAAACAAACAAACAAAAAACCAAAAGCAACAACAACAACAAAAACAAGAAAAAAGAAAAGAAATAGGGTCATGCTTATGTACCTTGGGTTGGGTTGGCTTGCAATTCTTAATCCTTCCATCTCAGCCTCGAGTCAAAACTTTTTTTTTCTTAATTTGAGACAGGTCTCACTATATCACTCTGGCCAGCCTACAACTCTCATTAGACCAGGCTGGCCCCAAAATCACAAAGTCTATCTGCTTCTGCCTCCTGGGTGCTGGAATTAAAGGTGTGCACCACACCATCTGACAAAACAGTTTTTAGAGTTATATTTTTATTTCTGTATGAGTGTTATGTCTGCTTGTATGCACATAATATAATTGCCTGGTGCTTGCCTGAAGAGCATGCCCAGTCTCCTGGGATTGGAATTACAAATGGTTGTGAACTTCTATATGGGTGCTGGGAACTGAACTCAAGTCCTTTCCAAGAGCACTGAGTGCACCTAACCACTAAGCCATGTCTCCAGCCCCAACATTGTCTTTATTTTTTTTTTTCTTTTAGCTGGGTGATGGTGGTGCACATCTTTAATCCCAGCACTTTGGGAGGCAAAGGCAGGTGGATCTCTGAATTCAATGCCAGCCTGGTATATAAGGCAAGTTCCAGGACAGGCTCCAAAGCTACACAGAGAAACCTTGTCTCGAAAAAAACAAAATAAAATAAAATTTCTTTTATGTGTATGTGTGTGTTGTAGTGCATGTCTGTGTATCACATGTATGCACTACTTGCAAAGGCCAGAAAAGGGCACAGGATCTCTTAGAACCAGTTGCAGATGTGAGCCTCTACTGGGAGTCAAACCTGGATCCCCTACAAGAGCAGTTAGTGTTCCTGATCACTGAGTTATCTCTTTAGCCCCATGTAAGGATACTGCAGGCCCTACAGAGATTGCTCACTTCCTCTAGAGACAGTAAAAAAAATCCTGACTTCCTAGTGCTCCTAACCCAGAACCCATATTCCCAATCCCCTTCCCTTAAGTTTTGTTTTCCTGACACAGGATCTGTCATCTAACTCAGGCTGTCCTTGAAATCATGATCCTCCTGCCTCACCTTCTTGAGTGCTAGTAGCACAGTCCTACAGCATCATGCTTCCCTCAGACCCGAACCCTTTTATCAAGGATGCTACACTTTAGGCCCTAGTCTGCCCTGATCACAGCTAGAGACACTCCCTACTCCCCAGATCCTACATGGCCTGTCTTCCTGTTCTTTCCATGGAAACGGCAAAAAGATTATTGTCATGGTTTCCTCTTACTCCTGGCCAACCCTAGCGTTTCCCTGTGTGGTGTGGCATGTGTGGCTCTGTGTGGTGTGGCATGCCCCCTCCCCTAGGGAGCCATGAGTGACACATTTCTTTTGTTAGAGTTACATCCTGCTCTTTTGGCTTCACCTTGCATCTTGAAACCCTAGTATGAAACACTGGTCTTGAGCACTAAGGTGCTGGAGGGATGAAGTCCCCTCTAGTACAAGGTGCTATGTGTGGATCTCTGTCCCAACTGTGTGTGAGGTATCCCCTTAGACTAGCTTGAATCCATAAAGTCTTTAGATCCCACTTCTGGCCAAGAAGGAGGATGTGTTAAATTAAAATACAGTTAAGGACTCAACATCCATGTGCCATGTGTGACCCCAGACTGAATACTCAACTGGGTTAAGTGGGATGCACAGAACATTTTGGATGAATCGGGAAATGTGAAAATGGTTGAAAAGAGAATAACAAGAATAGAGGCTAGCAGATATCTCTGTGGGTAGAGGTGCTTGCTATGCAAATCTGATGATGAACTGAGTTCAGTCACTGGATCCCATGTGGGAGGGGGAGAATCTACTCCCAAAAGCTGTGCTCTGCTCTCTGCATGAGCGCTTTGGCACATTCAGGAGGACAAACATGGATTCTTATCAATAGCCAAAAAAAGGGCTAGAGAGATGGCTCAGCAGTTAAGAGCACTGGCTGCTCTTGCAGAGGACTTGGGTTCAGTTCCAAGTGGTGGTTCACAGTCCCCTTTAACTCATTTCAGGGGACCAGACACTTTCTTCTGATCTCCACCAGCACTAGGCACAGACATGGTACACATACACACACACACATGCACACAAAACATTCAGACATATAAAATAAACTAAAAAAAGAAAAAAAACAACAAAATAAAGATAAGCATTAAAATAGGTTATAAGTTGAGCATGGTGGCACAGGCTTTTGATCCCAATGCTCAGAAGGCAGAGGTAGACAAATTTCTGAGGCAGCCTGATCTACATAGTGAGTTCCAGGCCAGCCAGAGCTACATAATGAGTCTCTGCCTCAAAAACAAAACAAAACAAAACAACAACAAAATAGGCTATAAATCCAGGAGACTCTTTGTTTTTTTTTTTTGTTTTTTTTTTTTATATGTGCATTGGTGTTTTGACTGCATGTATTTTGGTGTCTGGATGACAGATCTTGGAGTTATAGACAGTTGTGAGCTGCTGTGTGGGTGCTGGGGTTGAACCCAGGTTCTCTAGAAGAGTAACCAGTACTCTTAACCACTGAGCAATCTCTTCATCCTCTCAGGACAAACTTCTCCCATTAAAATATAAAATTAGGGGCCAGAGGGAAGGGTCAGTGGTTAAGAGCACTTGCTCTTGCAGAGGGTTTCTCTGTATAGTTTTGGAGCCTATCCTGGCACTTGTTGTATAGACCAGGCTCAAACTCACAGCGATCCGCCTGCCTCTGCCTCCCAAGTGCTTGGATTAAAGGTGCGTGACTCCAATGCCCAGCTTATTCATTTTTTAATTATGTTGTTTGAGTGCTTTGCCTGCATGTATGTATGTGCATGCGTGGTGCCTGCAGAGGTCAGAAGAGGGGGACAGATCCCCTGGAACTATAGTTTTAGATGGTTTTCACCAGTCTTATTTGGATCTCCTCTGCAACATTCCTAATAAGTTATTGAATGTCTCCAAGGTTGGGAAATCACTAATTCATTATATACTTATTTTTGATCTCACCATGTAGTCTAGCCTGGATTCTCTTGCCTCAGCCTCCCAAATGCTAGGCTTACAGGCATGTGCCACTATAGCTTACTCATGGGAGGGCTGTTTGTATGAAATTGGCATTCCTTTTACGCCTCCACATTGCTCCAAGTTATTCTTTCTCCCACATGCCAATTTCTCTGTGATGAACATAAAGATACTTACTTCCCAAAGGCACTGGAATCCCTTCACCCCTCTAGGATCCAATGTTACGGATGCCCTAGGTTTGTGCAGTGGGAAGTGGGTAGCTCCAGATGGGGGCCCTGGGTTCCATGGTCCACTGATGAGTCCCTGAGAAAGATGCTCAGTTTCTCTGTACTTCCTTTTCTCCATTTGTGTAAGACAACATCACTACCTGACCATTTTGTCGTGGAGGGGTGGGGAGTGAAGAGCCCTGTGGATTGTCCTCCTCCACTGGAAGCTGATACACACCTGGGTGCTTCTTTAGGGTCTGTCGTGCCCACTGCACCCCAATGACACAGTGAAACCACTTTTTTTTTTCTTTTAAAGATTTTTATTATGTATACAACATTCTGCTTCCATGTATATCTGCACACCAGAAGAGGGCACCAGATCTCATAACGGATGGGTGTGAGTCACTATGTGATTGCTGGGAATTGAACTCAGGACCTTTGGAAGAGCAGTTGGTGCTCTTAACTTCTGAGCCATCTCTCCAGCCCAGTGAAACCACTTCTAAAGAACTCAGTGTCCTCCCCCACTCATGGATCTGTGAACTTGACATTTGTGCAAACTTGTGCCGAATGTTACTTATACATTTTCCCAGCTGACCGTTTGGCACTGGGCCACCAATTGGTGTGCTTTTCCCTGGGAGGATCCCCTCTTCCACTCCTAGCTTTACTCAGCTGCCTGAAGCTTCGTAGGGCTGAGGCCTCATGAACTTCCCCCTGTTGTTTGATGTTAGTTGGTGTCCTCCTTGGACCCTCACATCTGGGTGGTGACACTGGTGAGGGTTTATGGGCATAGCTTCTGATGTTACTAGGAAACAGTCTCACAGCAAACGCCTCTGGTTCTTACAACCTTTCTGCCCCTCTTCAGCAACATTCCGAGCTTTAGGTATGCACTGGAACTGGGTCCACAACTCTGCATTTTGGCTGGTTGTGGTTTTCTGTAGTGGTCTCCACCCAAGAGCAAAGTGTCCACTTTTCTTTGAATTGATTTGCTACTTAGAGATCTTAACTTGAAAGACAACCAGTGCCTTCTTTGGTTAGTGTTAGGAGCTGGTGACTATACATTTTTTTTTTTTCTTTTTTTTCCCCGAGACAGGGTTTCTCTGTGTAGCTTTTGGAGCCTATCCTGCCAATCGCTCTGGAGACCAGGCTGGCCTCAAACTCACAGGGATCTGCTTGCCTCTGCCTCCCGAGTGCTGTGATTAAAGGTGTGTACCACCAATGCCCAGCCATGACTATACATTATAAATCTACAAAGTATCACAAAATTGTTCACTTTAAAATACTCCGTGAGATCAGAGCAGCAGTCTGCTGAAGTGAGGTAGCCAACAGATCAGTGTGATCTCCTGCTGGCACACATATCCCGGCACTTCTATAGGAACCCACTCAATCTGGGGATCCTTCATTTCATCTGACATTTAAGTTGATGGATGACATTTATTGAAATAGGATACGGATGACATCATAGCTGACTCATTTTGCATGCTCCCCCCCCCATATGGACCTAGAGAGGCAGGCAGTATTAATGTAAACGTGCCCATCTGAGGTCATGAAGCTGGTTATATATAAGTCAGCTTTGAAATTTCCTCCCATTCTTAAAATAAAGTTCAGATGACTAAATTTGAGAACTAAAAACTCATTTTATTACCACTTGGGATACTTTCTCTAAACGGTGGTTAGAGAAAGCAGAAGTAATACAATCTAGCATGTCACTGCTACTCACCTCTTAATGTATTCCACAGGCTAGAATGTAAACCTCATGCTAGTCACACAGACATTAAAACACATGGCGGCTGCTTTGCATGCCTTGAATCATGCAATCTTGTTTCCCAGCCAAACTATCCTCAGGAACTGGGCTGCACCTGCCCTCTCTTCCATACATTTACTGCAATGTCCACAAAATTCCAAGTTCCTCAGTGTCTAGGATATATGATATAAAGCAGTGTACAAGGTCAGAAATGGTGGTGCACCCCTTTAATTCCAGCACTCCAGAGGTAGGAGGATTTCTATGAGAAATAGAAATATGAGGCCCTAGGGGGGCGGGGGTAAAAGTATACCCAGAGTACACTTTAGGAATCAAGCCTTTAACCTGACTTACAAGACTGCGTTGGGAAATGACCTAGTGAATACAAAGCTGTTAACTAAAAAACATCCTTAGTTTCATACAAGCAACATTATATAGACCGAACAGATTAGACTACTAGGAGGAAGTAAGTCTGCTCTCTCTGGAGGTTCCATATGAGAAACTCCTGAAAACAAAACCACACTATGCAAAGACTAGACTAGAAACCCAGTGATGCAAGGACTCCACCTGCAGGCAGAGAAAGGAGCAGCCACGGGGTGAACAAGATGCGCACTCTAGTGCTGGCAGTTAAAAAAGACCAAAGATGCTGGCAGTGTGGTGGTAGTGGTGCATGCACCTGGGAGGCTGAGGCAGGTGAGTCTCTGTGAGGTCAGCCTGATGGACAGAGCAAGTTCCAGGACAGGCTCCAGAACTACACAGAGAAATTCTATCTCAACAAAAGAAAAGAAAACAAAACGATCAAAAATATTTGGGAGGGGGATGAACTAAGTCAAGAGCAGTTCTCCTTCAAGTTCAAAAACAGGGTGACCTGAAGTAACTGTGATACTCACCTGATACTCCCTATCCCTTATATGGGTAGCTGATGTCTAGCTGAGTTTCCCAAGACTGGTGAACAGCCAAGCACAGTTTCTGTGCCCCCAGCTCACACCTCTTCGGGTGGAGGCAGGATATCAGTCTATAGCAACACCCAGGTGTGTGTGTGTGTGTGTGTGTGTGTGTGTGTGTGTGTGTAATTTGTGACAGTTCCTAGTGTTCAGACTTGCATAGGACACAAAGCTGGAGTGCTGGTGTTTACAGGGAGTAATAATTTACAGGAATAAGTGACATGCTGAAAATGACCAGGAAAACACTGTTATCTGAAAATACAAATACCTGCTGAGCAAGGCTGTGTAACCTTGTTACCCCATCCACTGGGAAGCAAGAGGATCTCAGAGTTTAAAGCTGGTCCAGACCATACACAAAGCAAGACCTTATCTCCAAAAGGACTAAGTATCAAAAAATCAGTTCCTTTCCCCCTTAAGGACATAAAAGACAACATCAACAAAAACACCACAATGCAAGGAGTTTGAAAAGTATATAACACATTTTTTTATTATTATTTACAATCAAGTTCTGTTGGGACACATAATTAAATAAATAAAAGATGTGCCCTGGCCAGCGAATTTCAACTCCCATCAACACAAGCTCTCTGGCAGCAAACCAACAGGTGAGTTGCAAGCAGAGGAAGATGTCAGAGGAAAAACCGTTGACCCTCTTCCCTAACTCTAGCGCTTGTGTCCCTACTGTCCAGAGAACCAGTGTGGCGGCAAAAAATAAAGTGCAAAGTAAATGTGACAAACACATAGTGCTTCAGCCACCCAGACACAGAGTTCAGACCATGTGCACAGGTGAGCAGAATAGACAATGCTTTCCCAGCCTTCCTCATAACCAGTTCCTAGATAGGCTTCTTGGACAGAACCCTAAGGTCACTGTAGGCACAGTGGCTGAACACACCACTCCAGGCTTCGGCAAGAATGCCCAGGTAAGCACTCAGCCAGATGCTGTGCTGTGGTGAGGCTGTTAATCTACCCAACAGGGAAAGGTTGGCACAAGCCCTTTCCGAGCACTCCCCGCCACTCACACACACACACAAAGCTATGGGGAAATGCTGGCAGGAAGGGAGCCAGTTCTGAAGGCCAGCTGCAGATGCAGGTTTCAGCAACGAGACCAGTCCAAACCCCCAGCCCTGAAACCAGCTCCACCCATCCTTTGTCACATGAGGACAGGCCCTGCATTTGGTTTCCACTGACCCAATGCCTACAGTGACTCCCTTGGGTAAATGACCCCAGAAAGGGAGTGTGCATCAGGCCAAAACAGACTTTGGAAAGACAAGAAAGCCACAGGAGACCCAATACCCAGTGTGTGGGGTTGTCCTTGGCACTGTGTCCAGTGGGGAGAGCCAGCAGGGACCCTGTGCTCCCCATGAGGTATGGAAGGTCAGTTAGTAGTGTTTCCCACTCAAATGCAGACAAGAATCCAAACCTCTGCTAGGCACTTGCAGAGTCAATATGATTCAGTGTTGCTTCTTCTAGATCTCAGAGACCTTAAGTCAAAGTTCTCAGGAAAGCCACGGCACCACATGGCTCCAGCTCTTCTCTGGGAGGACACATCACCCTCCAAGACAGGGCTGTGGGGGTCCCATGCTGCTCCTGAGGGGATGCATCAAGGTTGTGTCCACAACACAGCTTTGCTTCCTTTGTCGACACTGACAACATGCATGCCCGAGGGGGCCCACGCCACCGCATTTATGGAGGAGCTTTAAAGATCAATCAGAAGAGATTTCAGTCAGACACACCCACCCACAGCAGGGGCTTATGCTAAGAAGGCTGCACTATTCCAGCAGGCAGCACTGGAGTGGATAGAAGATGCTTGTCTCCTTTAGCAACCAGGCCTTCCTTATCTGGCTCACCCTGAGAACAGCTCTGAGGGAAGCAGAGACAACACAGTGCAAAGCTGCATAACCCACAACGTCATCAGCAGAGGTCACTGACCCACGGAAGCCAGGGCCTATGTTCTAGATGGCATGCAGCTCTGGGCACACAGTAACAAGAAACTCTGGGCACAAGTAACAAGTAACCCAAGAGCTACTTCTCTGGTGGAAGGTAAGAAAGGCATGTAGAAATCAGAGCTTAGACCCTGTGGAATCACTGACAAACATTAGAGTCAAGGAAGAAAGGGAGGACAGAGTAGGAGAGAAGGATGAAGTGAAGAGCTGCTCTGACCCTTTCCCCAGTGGCCACTGATCAATGATTCTACCTGCTGCATGCATCTCAGTCACGGAGGGCCGCTATGCTGTTGAGTGGTGAAGCCTGGCCCCACTAACCCTGGTTAATCAGCCCTGCAAATGAGAACGGGACCGCCCTCAAGAAGCCCCTTGGGATGAAATCACAGGCCTGAGTAAATGCCCACTGATGGGGTTCATCTTACCTGTGCTGTTTGGAAAGAACCTTCTCCACTTTCCCTGTGAGCACACTCCAGACATAAAGAGAACCCTCGGCTGAGCCTGCTGCCACGTAACTGCCATCAGGGCTAGAGAAGACAGTAAGACAGCAAAAGCTACAGAGCTTTGACCTCACACGACCACTCCTGTGATCACAGATGCAGGCCATGTGCTGGTTCTGAGCCTGGCAGCCACATGTGTTCACTTTGTTCTTTCAGCCACCTGGCTGCCGAAGAACAGTGCCATTTTGCATCTTGAGGTTCCCCACCCCTACCCACCTTCCTACCAGACTCAAGCAACACACTGGGGAGTCCAAAGCCAACCTCTGCACAACTTAAGGTTTCTACCCATGAACTAACTTGTTGAATGGTTTAGTGAGAGTAGGCAGGGGAAACCCTGAAATGCTAAGATATAATAAGCTGGGGAGGTGGCCTAAGGTGTCGGGAGCATTTGCTGCAACTTGAGGATCCACGTTTGAATCTCCAAAACCCATGTTAAAAAATGTGTGTGTGCACATTTGTACCTATAACCCCAGCACCGATGAGACAGGATTTCTGGGGCTTGCAGGCTGTCAGCCTAGTTGTAGGTCCAGTGAAAAGGCTGTCTTAAGAGAATAGGATGGAGTGGTGGAGGAGGACACCAGATGTCCCCTGGTCTTTGGATGTGTGCAGAGCTCATGTCCTCCCCCCCTCCCGCAGCAGACACCTTTCCCTATTATGACAGCCAACCTAGAATACTCTTGAGAAGAGTATGCTACACAGAAGGCACAACGAGGAGAGGGACACTGGATCACCTTAGAGTGTTACCACAAACAGACTGTTTCATTCTATCCCTCTCCAGTAGTCTCTGAAATTATGCCAAGCCTGGGAAGTGATGGTGGTGGGGGGTGTGAAAGGGGAATGCGGTAGCTCCCTCTGAAACAATAATCTTCAGCCAACCATGCCCATGCTCACAAAACAAAAGGAAAACCATTAAAAAAGAAGAAGAAAAAAAGAGGATCCCAGCAGGACCAGCAGATGACCCTCAGACTCACTCCCACAAGCTGTGAGAGGCATTTAGTTCCCTTAAAAGAAAATGTCCAGGTTTAACCTCTGAGATAAACCAAGCAGGGGATAGGACACGGCTACTAACCTGAAGACAACTCGGGTCCAGTCAGAGCCACATTTGAACCCAGGTGCACTGAAACAACAGCAGACAGGTTAGCTAGTGCCCAGAGTGCACTCACCCAGCAGGCAGAAGCAGGCCAGGCCAGGCCAGGCCAGGCCCAGGGCCCAGTACCTGAATGTCTGCTTGATGGCATTTGTCCGGAGGTCAATGACTTTCAGCAGGTCATCACGAGAGCAGCTCAGGAGCTCAGTTCTCTCGGGGTTTAAGTCCAGAGCAGTGATCTTTCCCAACAGTTCCATCTCTCGGACCACACACTCTGACCTAAGAGAGACAGAAGCCTGAGACCTAAGGCAAGTGGGCCACATCCAACTAGACTAGGATGTATATATATCACTGAGCAAAAAACACTGCCACCCAGCTAGATCCAACAGTCTTCAAGGGCAGTAGGAATGTCCTTAGATTCACTACTGCTCACAAACTTTCCCAACAAACAAACAAACAAACAAACAAAAAGAGTCTACAAGAATGTTGAGTACTAGAACTGTGAAACTGGTTAGAAATTTCCTTGCCTGTTTTTAGAATAACAGGGCAATTACCAACCAGAGCTCCTGATAAACAAGAATGAACTGGGTAATTGCAGCTTTTTCTTATTTTGTTTTGTGGACTGGATCCAAGGCCTCACATGCATGATAAGCATGTGTCCTACCGACGATCTGCCCCCAAGCCATGGATCAGTACAATTTCCATGTTACTTTTAGCTTTCACATAAGAAGCTGCTTTGGTACGTCTGGGAGCCCACAGGCCGTCATGCTCAGGTAGCTTCGTTATGACTGCTTCAGACATGGGACTGGATGACCGCTGGGCATAGCTGTCACTTTTGTACGCCCTCTGCTGCTGCTTCCCCAATTCTCTTCCATACTCACCCCAAAGAAGTCAGCTAACAGACAACTAGCAGACAAGGCCCAAGGGGGACACTTGGAAAGGTTTTGCTGAAGGTTTCCAATGAACTTAATGTCTTAACGGAGCAGGAATTTTGTCTTGTTATATATACAGCCCTAGATCCTACTCCAATTCTTTGGTATGTGGGCCATTTTATTGTCAAATTAAGGGATTAGCTTGGAGACTTGTAACATTCAGTCAAATTGGTTTTGGGAGGAATTAAAAAACATAGCTTGAGCCGGGCATTGGTGGCGCACACCTTTAATCCCAGCACTCGGGAGGCAGAGGCAGAGGCAGGTGGATCTCTGTGAGTTCGAGGCCAGCCTGGTCTCCAGAGCAAGTGCCAGGATAGGCTCCAAAGCTACACAGAGAACTCTCAATAGAGGAATCTAAAATGGCTGAAAGGCACATAAGAAAGTGTTCAACATCCTTAACAATTAATTTTTTAAAGGGCGTTATTTTTTTCTTAATTTTCACTAGAAGAGACTTCTGTTTCTCTTAGAAGGGTTTTGGTCACATCCTCAGACACTTTATCCATTGAAATACTCACTGGAAAATCTCTAAGGTTTTTTATTAGCACCAATAATATACAAACTTCCTGCTTCATTATTTAAATATCAGATATGATTGATTAAAAGTGTGTTTGAGCCAAAAAACAAAACAAAACAAAACATAGCTTGAAGTAGGGTCTAGGAGTCACAGGATTCACAGTGTCCTTATGGGTACTCTGCATTTCAAAGTCCATCCAGAGCCATAAAATTTTACCCCTCTCTCCACACTCATGAGCCTCTGTGGCCTCTCTATTTCAATCCAATTACCAGCCACCTCCATCTTCCTCAGCAAGCAGCTCAGGGCTTCATTTCACTAGACCTCTTTTGGTCCAGTGTCCTGACAGATGTCCCCTCCTAACCTTGCCCAGCAATAGGAACCTCCTAGCATGTCCCTGTCCATGCCCTTCTGCTATGAATTCAGGTCCTCATCAACACCTGGCTTTCAAAGTGCCCTAACCTGCTCTCTGAAGATGAACAAAAATCACTGAGCAGACTTCTAGAGTCAGACTTATTACTTTCTTCCATTACCACCCACAACTCAAACATCAAGACATCCAAAGTGGTTTATAAAGCCAGTGGACATCTGATTCATTACTCAACCTACCATCTCATTGGCATATGCTTGCTTCATGTCAGTTACACCCTAGTTGGGCATGTCTTCCTTTTTTTTTTTTTTTGTTTTTTCGAGATAGGGTTTCTCTGTGTAGCTTTGGAGCCTATCCTGGCACTCGCTCTGGAGACCAGGCTGGCCTCGAACTCACAGAGATCCGTTTGCCTCTGCCTCCTGAGTGCTGGGATTAAAGGTGTGCGCCACCAAGGGATAATTTTATTTTTTAAAGATTTATTTTATATATATAGTGTTCCTGCCTGTATGTATGCCTGCAGGCCAGGAGAGGGAACCAGATCTAATTATATATGGCTGTGAGCCACCATGTGGTTGCTGGGAATTGAACTCAGGTCCTCTGGAAGAACAGGCAGTGCTCTTAACCACTGAGCCATCTCTCCAGCCCCTGGGCATGTCTTTCAATGGCTCTGCCTATAAAGTTTATTCGCTTCTCCAGATTAATTCCCATACCCATCACCACAGAAAAAGACCTGTCTCCATTACTGCAAAATGTGTACTGCCTTGTGTTTTGTCTTCCCTGTTTCATCTTCATCTACCTAAAGGTAGAAGGAGGAGTACCTTCTCATCTTGCTTATCTCACAGCTGGCGAGCATCTGGTATATAGTACCTGTATAATAAATGATGGCTAGACCCAGAAGTCAGTCCTGGAGCTGGAGAACACAGCTCTACACAAGCATGCTCACAGCTCTTTATACGTACTCATCAGCCTTCCCACCAAGCTCTTAGGTGTCATACCGTATATCCCAGAAACGAATTTTCTTGTCAAAATGTCCACTCATTACACATTGCTCGGTGCAAACAATGTCATTGCAGCTGGATCCTGCAAACACTGTCTTTATGCCTGAAAGAAAACCAAATATCATCAATCAAAGGCAACCATGTGGCTATATATGTATATAACATGGCTACACTCTTGACCACCGAGTCCCAGAAATTATGAACTGAAATGAGACCAAGCAGAAATGACCCTCACTACCTCCGTGTCCCCCAGACTGAAATAAACCCGAGGTTCAGATGGACTACACAAAATGTAAGCTCTGATGTGGGCACACTACCTCACGGCTAATATCTATACAAACACAGAGAGAGGTGGGGAGGTAGAGAGAGAGACTTAATTTCCTCACAGACTTTGCTGCGTAGATCCCAGAGCTTGAGGGTCCGGTCGTGACTTCCTGAGACTATCCGAGCGTTGTCCAGCAGGAACTTGGCAGAGAGCACTTTCCCACTGTGGCCTGTGAGTGTGTGCTAGGAGAGAGGACACAGCAAGGGTGAGCTTTGGGATGGTACATGGCCCTCCCAGAGAAGAGCCAGAGCCAGTCTCAAAAGGCCCTGAAATCCAATCACTCATCCTCAAAGAAACCAGAAGAAAAGGGGAAAGAAATACAGCATATGGAGAACAGCTTCACCTACTCAGCCTCAATCAAAGACACTGCATATTTCATCTGAAGTACCTTCAACCAGTCAGCCATATTTCTGACCTGAGAAGTAGCTTTCAGAAGGTTCCGGAAACTACTTCTGGTGCTGCCTAGAAAAGAGGTACTGTTTTGGTTTGATCTTGAATGACCCCAAGAACTGATGTGCTGAGGCTTGGTCTCTATAGAATGTGGCCCAGTGGGAAAATTACACATTGAGCTCATGCTCCCCCAAAAGACTGGGGCCCCTGGGGACTTCCTGCTTTGATCTTTGACTCTCAGGAGGCAAACAGGTTCCTCAGACACACAATGTACCCAAGTCCAAGCAACCATGGCCTAAACTTCTGAACCTGAGCTCAACATGCTGACGTCAGGAGTTTTGTTCTATCTTACTTAGGTCTCTCACAATAGTGACACAAGGCTGAGTAACACAGGGATCAAGACCACAAAGATAAAGGCAGGCATGGTGTTGCATACATAATCCCAATACTTGAATTCCTGGAATCTGTAAACTCAAAATCAGCCTGGGCAACACAGTAAGACTTGGAGATATAGCTCAGTGGTAAAGCACTTGTATAGCACATATGAGGTTCTAGACCCCAGCCCTGGAGGAGGTGGGGATCTCCTACTAAAGATAAACACAAACCACAGTACAAAACTTCACTAACTTGCAATTCAAAAAACAGGGGAAACAGAAAGCAAATGGAGGGTGCTTAAAAAACTTCTCGGCTCCCACTTGTCTAGGGCTGGGATTAATAGGCGTACCACCAAGTCTGGCTCAAATTATCAGTGCCACTGAAAGTCAGTTCTATACTTAGAGGGCGAACAGGCAGGTCCACTGCAGACATCATTTACAAAAAGAAACATCAGAATTCCACATACACAATTAGAAACTATGGGGCATTTAAAATAAGAGGTCTCAGCTTAAAGTCAGATCATAGCCAAGGGATACCAGCACTCCCAACAATCAAATCCCTTAGAGACTAAGCTGTTGGATGCCAACTCATGTCTTCTCTGGGCTTGTCAGAGAACACAGAATGGAGACATCACTGCATGTCAGCTATTGTGTTTGCCATGATAGCACTACTACAGTAAGATGGAAAGAGCACGCAGCTGGGGATGTAGGATGCTGGTAGGTGACCCTGGAAGTCAGACCTTTTACTATTCATCATTGACCTCTTTTCAAAGTAGTTTTGTCTGTTTTTGTTTTTGTTTTGTTTTTTTTTTTTGAGACAAGATCTCACTATGTAAATAAGGCTGCCTTTTGAGCGCTGGGATTAAAAGCATGTGCCAACATGCTTTTTATTTGTACTTATTTTTAGAGGGTTACTTTTCTTTGTGCACACCACTGCACTTTCCAGGTGATTGGGGCACTGGATCCCTGATGCTACAAGTAGTTGTGAATGAAACTCTAATCTTTGCAAGAACATTCGACTGCCAAGGCATCTCTTTAGCCCTTTGATTTTTATGTATTATATTATTTATCATGTGTGTGTATACACCAAGTGGAGACAGTTCTCTCCTTCCTTTACAAGGTCTTAATGATCAAACTCAAATAATCAGGCTTGTATGGTAAGCACTATATTTGCCGAGCAATCTCTGGCTTCCCAGGGGTATTTTTTTGGGGGAGGGGGCAGTTCAAGACAGGATTTCTCTGTGGCTCTGGAGGCTGTCCTGGAACTAGCTCTTATAGACCAGGTTGACCTCGAACTCAGAGATCCACCTGCCTCTGCCTCCTGAGTGCTGGGATTAAAGGTTGTGCACCACTACTGCCCTGCCTTTTTTTTTTTTTTTTTAAATTAAAGACAGGGTCTCACCATGTAACCTTGGCTGTCCTAGCGTTCACAATGTTGACCAGATTTAATTAAAAGTATGTACAACCACTCCTGACTAGAATCATTTTTTTATAAGTATGCCTCCCTGCCCCCCAAAGTTCAAAAGTGTCATTAATGTTTTGTTTCTAATTAAGAAAAGAATGCTCTGGTCCAGTAAGATGGCTTAGGGCAGGATCCACATGGTAGAAAGAACCTACTCATTTAAGTTTTCTTCTACGAATCTCTTCCTTCCTTCCTTCTTTCCTTCCTTCTTTCCTTCCTTCTTTCCTTCCTTCTTTCCTTCCTTCCTTCCTTTCATGCTTCCAGGATCTTCTCCATTTAGTCCTGGATGCAAATGAATCCCTCCTTTCCTCCCTTCCTTGCAGGGTCTTCTCCATTTAGTCCTGGCTATCCTGAAACTCACCATGTAGATCAAGCTGCCCTTAAACACAGATATTTAAGACATTCCTGTCTCTGCCTCCCGTGGCTAGGTCTCAGTGCTTCAGTTCACAGAGCTGGAAACAATTCCGACTCTGAGCTCCATCTTCTATGCCTACTTCTCCAGTTGCCTCATCCATACTTCAGGAGAGTGATCCCCACCTATCTATAATTTTTCTTTACCAACCACCCCCTATTTCATATTCCCTCAAATGCCTCCTCTTTTTTTCTCCTGAGGCCCAGTATGAAGAAATCCACAGGTCCCTCTTCCATAGTTGGTCAGCACCGTTACATCTTAGTGTAGCATCTAGCCTTATTACTTAACTCAATGACCTCTCATTCTTTATCTGAACCTGGCTTATCTACTCCCCTCAGCTGAGTTCCCACATAATTAAAAAGAAATACATCAGTCATAGCACAACACTGCGTCCAACACAAAGGAATGCTTTTTCTTTAAGCAAACTAACTCCTAGAAGTATTCACTCAATCTTAAATACCCAATAAAAGATGAACAGAGCTGGGCATAGTGGCGTATCATAACACCGAGGAGGAAGAGGCGGGGATATTGGTGCAAAGCAGAGGCCATGCCAGTCAAGGTTATGCAGGAAAAGTCCAATTCAAAAAATAAAAAAGGTGTGTGTGAAAGGTTCAGGCATTATGCTGGCCTGCCCCTGTTACCTGGTGGAATCCACTCAGGCAGAGCCCTGGTCAGCCCAAGTTTCCATGGGAACTAAGTCTGCACGCAGGCGCAGAGGATCCCTTTAAAAGATAAGTCCCTGCCCCTTTACGCTCTCTGTTTCTCTGTTCCTCTGTTCCCCTCTCTCTGTTCCCCCGGCTTTGTCTCTCTATGGCGACCGGCCATGGCGGTCAGCCATTTACCCCTTTTTCTCTTCTTAGTCTCCCCATTCTGCCGGGCCTTATAATAAACTTATAGTCAATGTCTTATGTCTCAGCATTTCTCTTTTCTTCTTTTTAAACAAAACAATAACAGTGTGGAAGTGTGCATGCCCTTGTGCATTGGTGGCTCACAACTTCCTGTGATACCTCTAGGCTCCATAGCCACCTGTGTTCATGTGCATGCACACAGCCAAGAATAAAAAGATGAACACTTTCACAAATGACAGCTGACACAGGGTGGCTCCTTGTACATTTAGCAGCACCAGCTGGGCCCCTCCCCACATATAGAACGCAAAGCTGCGGAGCATCAACTGAAGATGTGTGTGGAGTGTCTGCACAGATATAAGCTGCAGCAGCCCCTTGCTGCAGTCCTCCCTTCAGAAAACACAAGGCTGACTCTTCACCACTCATAGTACGCATCTGCCATCTTTCTGGCTCATGTTTTACATGATCAGATATGATTTCTCTTTCAACTGAGAACCATGAATTATTACCCTCAAGGTACTGTCTACACAGTTCTTCCAGGAAAATGAAAAGCTAAAGTGGTAAATGAATTTGCTTCTGAATGATCCTCTAACTTCATCCCGTTAGCATCAATCAGACCAACAAAACAACTCTAATGTAACTGGCACCCGCCGTAGTGCTCAAATATTCATTATAACATCATGTCACTCTATGTGTGGGCCAACACAAAAGCAACCTGTATCAAACTTGAAATGCCCCACCAAAGCCAAATGCCTTCTGTGCAACCTTTCACTAAGATGATGTGAAAATGTTTTCCCATTAGTTACCTAACTCTCAGAAGCACCAAGTTCTGATCGTTGTCTGGATATCAAATTGGGCTCAAATGCACATTTCCTCCAGAGCTGATGTCACCACTTTCCCCTCTTCTGCACCTATCTCCTATATCCCAGCTTCATCATCTGTTTAAGTACATCCACATATTTCTGTCATCCTAACTCCGAACTATGAGGTAACTCTTAGGGTTTAGGACTCTTACAAACCATAATTCGTAAGTCAAGTATGGTGGTGCACACCTTTAATCCCAGCACTCAGGAGGCAGAGGCAAGCGGATCTCTGAGTTCAAGGCCAGTGTGGTCTACAAAGCTATTTCAAGGACAGTCAGGACTACAGAGAGAAATCCTGTCCCAATTCACATGCTGGTGTCACAATATGACAAGTTAAGTAAAACAGATTATGAAATATACCTGGTTCTTAAGAACACAAGAGTCCTGAGACGATCATGGTAACATGAGGGTCTGGTAGCAAATATGCTGAAACAAGACCTCGGACACATTTTCTCACAATAAAGCATGAGTTAAGTATAATTTCCATGCTGTGCAGTAGTGGCGCACATTTTTAATCCCAGCATTAAGGAGGCAGAGGCAGGGGGATCTCTGAGTTCAGGGCAATCTGGTCTACAGAGTGAGTTCCAAGATAGCCTGGGCTACACACAGAAACCTTATCTCGAAAAACAAAAACAAAACAAATATATATACACACAGACTTATATATTTGTATATATTTATAAATATCTGCCATTTTTTTGTGTGTATTTCACACATTGATTGACATGTGCAATTAGAAGATTATGCTGGCTTTCTCAAACTGGGTCTTACCCTTAATCGGTAATCATCCACAGTCCAGATTCTGCTTGCAAAATCATTTGAAGCTGCTAAGAGGTAAGCTCCCTACAACAATAAAAAGAAAAACTTTTAGCAAAATTCAGTTCACATAGTACAAATTTCCCAGTTAGCAGGTCCAAGAAGGAATTCAGATGCATTCAACTACACCGCTAAGCTAGACACAACCTATACTGCCAATGTGCTGGCAACTACCCCCACCTAGTCTTTGAAACCAAGTCCTGTTCCCCAGATTCACTTGACCTGACATGAGTGCAGTAGACATCTCAGGCTCAAAGCAGAGCTCAGCCCCGCCCACTCACTATTCCCTTCACCAATGTCCTTAACAGTAAGTGAACTTCCTTATATTACTAAGGCCTCCTAACTCATCTCCTACCCTTCCTTGAGGCTGCCCACCTTCCACAGTAGTTCTCCCCTTCCTCTGGAGTCCACTGCTTCAGCCCCACTAGGCTTTTGTGGGCATTTCAGACCTGCCTCTCTAGTATCAATCTGTTTTTCAAAATCTCCCAGGAGCCAAGATGTAGCTCAGTGATAAGGCAATTGTATAGCATGTCCAAGTATCTGGGTTTGATCCCCAAAACTGCCAAGATACCTCAAGACTCTCAGTGGATTTAAGGTTATTTAAAAATTTGGACATCATATATATTCTGACCCACACTTAACTAACTATTCTTACTTCCTTATTTCCCCCCAATATCCAGGCACTACTGCTTGAGGCATAAAGACACCTAGTCAATGCCCTTCCTTTAAGATAACGTTCTCAGCTGGGTAGTGGTGGTGCATGCCTTTAATCCTAGCACTCGGAAGGCAAACAGATTTCTGAGTTTGATTTTAGGTCAGCCTGATCTACAGAGTGAGTTCTAGGGCAGCCACGGCTACATAGAGAAACCTTGACTGGAAAAATCAAAAAGATAAAGAAAAGGTTCCATCATTTCAGTTAGTGCTCTTGAGCAATAGGAATGCTACCATTATTCACCAGCTACGGGACCAGTCTTGCTACAGCTCCTCTCTCTGCTTCCTCTACCTTCAAACCTACCCTTTGCATATGACCTCAAGGTCTGCCTCAAATGGCTTACTTTGCTCCCTAAGCCACCCCAGAGTTTTACTACCTTAATATCATGACCATCAATTCAATGCTTTCTGACCATTCTCTTAAAAATTTAAGCTGGGCAGTGGTAGCACACGCCTTTAATCCCAGCACTCAGGAGGCAGAGGCAGGTGGATCTCTGTGAGTCTGTAGCCAACATGGTCTACAGAGTGAGTTTCGAACATCCAGGGCTACACAGAGAAAATCTGTCTCAAAAAACAAAACCAAAAACAAACAAAAAAGTGTGTGTGTGTGTGCGGAAAACTTTCAGGAGTCAATTCTCTATTTTCACCACAGGGGTCTCAGGGATCTAAATAAACTGTGAGGCTTGGCAGCAAGTGCTTTTTACCTACTGAGCCAACTTGCTGGCGTGGCTCTTTGAAAGGTAAATTCCCGGCGAGAAGACACCACCCTGACCTTAGGAGCATGCATCTAAACAAACCAATCAGGCTTTGGAACAGTCAAAGTGGTAAGAGTCAGCCTCTGGTCTACTTCTAACCCTCCTCAGTGTGAACTGGATTCATATTGCAGAGAATAGGAAGTCTTATGGTTCTGGTTTCTTTGGGGAGGTTTCTCTGTGTATCTTTGGCTGTCCTGGAACTAGCTCTGTAGACCAGGCTGTCCTCAAACTCACAAAGACCTTCCTGACTCTGTTGTTTTTGTTTTTAATTTCAAGAATCAGATACCTCAAATTATTTTTAAAAAATTTCTAAAACTGGCTAAGCTGGTGGTCACAGTTGGGAGGCAGAGGGCAGCCGGTCTAAATAATGAGTTCTAGGACAGTCAGAGCTATGTAGAGACCCTATCTCAAAATACAAACAACCTAAAACCATAGGTATTAGTTACTTACAGCACTATCAAATTCAATGCTTGTAATTCCTGCATTACTGCCAGCCAGGGAACTCTTGAATTCACATTTATCTGCATGAAATAAAAAACCCAAAGTTAATGGGGAAAGTACTTCTGTGTATGTTTATCTTATTGATTGTTGAATAAAGTCCTGTTTGTCCAATGAGACAGCAAGTTAGACAGGACTAGGAGTCAAAGAGGATTCTGGGAAATGAAGAGAAATGGTGATCCAGGCAGGAAGTAACATAGCAAGGAGACTATTTAAACAAGGAGAAACAGGAAGTGTCCCTTTTGCCCTTGGCGCCTCCTCCAGTGGCGCCATGTGAGCCACTGGCAAAAGAGGGCACCAGCAGAAGGCATCCTCTATAAATCTTATGAAATATATATATATTCATGATAATTAAGACTGAGCTAACAGATGAGAAATCCTAGTCATTGGCCAAGCAGCATTGTATCTAATATATATATAAGTCTGTGTATTATTTTGTCCATCCACGAGGCGGGCAGAACTTTTGGCGGAAAGATTTATCCTAACAAATAAGTGCATTTAAAAGGGGCAGTGGAACACAGGCAAGTCAATCATGACACTGAACAGTTTTCCTGTAGCTCTGCAGAATCAGACAAGATAAACAGAAAACAGGGCATTCTGATGCAATCTGAGTCCAGAAACAGTGGAGATTCAGCAATGTCACATGTGTGTTTCCAAGTTGTCATCTGGGGCACATGCAAGACTTTGCATTAGTTCTCAGTGAAATCGACCACCACATTTTCATAATTCTTGTTTTGGGAATCTTCATTTCATTATGGTCTGAAAAACTGTTGGACTCTATAATTCTATCAATTAAGACAACCAACTATGAATACCTCCTTTCTGGGCATAATCCTCCCTCACCTTCCACCCATCTGATCTCCTCAGGTGTTTTACTGACCACAGACAACAGAACTATGCTGCTATTTAGTTAGTAGCTAGGCAAGTGCTCTACAACTGAGCTACACCTACAGCTCTACATAATCTTTATAAAGCACCTCTGCCAAGATTTATTTCCTTATGGTTGAGCTTTATCTTCGAACAACTTCAGTCATTCTATCTGTCCCAACATAAGTCTCTGAGTAAAACAGCACATTCTCATGGCTTCAGCAGACTAGGGGTTTATCTGAGTCACTTTCCTGCTAACCACAAATCAGGGAAGACGGCACAATGCTTCCCAACAATCAAAAGGTTCCACAAGCTGCTCTGGCTCAAACACACATCAAAGCAAAGTCTTTATCTCCACTGTAGAGCCTAGAGGTCTTCATTGTTAAGAGCAAGGGATTTTGACCTCAGTCCCAGAGAAGACGTAGCAGGAGAACCATGGGTTCCAGGCTAGCCTGCAAATACAGTGACGTCTCAAAAACAATGAGAATTAATTTTAAGTCATGTGCTCTCAGTCCTGACTTGACTCTACTGCTCATACATTAGACAAATTAAAATGTAATTTAAGGGGCGGGCATTGGTGGCGCACGCCTTTAATCCCAGCACTCGGGAGGCAGAAGACAGGCGGATCTCTGTGAGTTCGAGGCCAGCCAGGTCTACCGAGCAAGTTCCAAGACAGGCTCCAAAACAATACAGAGAAACCCTGTCTCAAAAAAAAAAAAGTAATTTAAAACACAGCAAAAAGTCACTCAGATGTCACCAGAGGTTCCTGGTAAGAACATAATGGGCTCTTACCTCCGAATACTTCCCAAAGTTTAACCCTCCGGTCCATGCCTCCGGTGGCCAGTAACCGGGAGCCTGGACTGAACTGCACTGCGTTGACTTCCCCATCATGTGCATCCTGCAAGACAGGACCTTGTTTCAAGCCCAGTTATCATCACCCAGGGGCCTACGATAAATACACACTCCTAGGCCACACACTCAGTCTCAAATAGAACTCTATCCAACTAGGAACTGCGGACACTCTGTGCCCAAAGTCTCCGAAGATTCTAGTTTCATTTTATTCCTAGAGCTGCAGTGGCGTGAATCCATTCATTTGAATTGTACTATTTCACTGTGTAGTCCAGGCAAACCCAAATTACAGTTGTAAAACTCTTGCCTTAAACTCCTGAGCTAAGTAAGGGTTACAGGAGTTCGCTACCATGTTTGGTTTGTAGTCACTTAAACAAAAAGTGTTCAAAATCACCCAGGCATAGTGACACACACCTGTAATCCCAGCTCCCAGAAGGCAGACAGACTGCCAGTAGTTCAAGGCCAGACAGGAAATACGATGATGTATACCCACAAAAAAGTACTCAAAATTAATGTATATTCCCTAAACTTTGCCTTTGCATTAATTTTATTCCTAAGAATCATAATTTGATTTAATTTTACTAGCTTAAAACAGAAAACTGAATGTGTGTGTTGTGTGCTCATGTGTGTGGAGGTCTGTCAGTCTACCTTAGTACCCTGAGACAAGACTTCTTACTCAACTAGAAGCTAGGCTGGCAATCAGCAAGACCCTGCAATTTTCCATTCTCCACCCCTCGGTACTGGGGTTACAGGCACAAAGCCATTCAGCTTTTCAAATGGATTCTATGGACATGAACACAGGTTCTCACAGATTGCAGCAAGTGTTCTCACCCATTAAGCCATCAATGCAGCCCCAAGAAAAGTTTTCTTGGTCAATCCCAATACTGTGAGCCTGTGTTAATTGCTCTAGAAACATGGTACTAGTATGTATTAACTGTGTGGTGTTCATCAAGTATTTAACTTCCTATAACTTCAGTATAGTTTTTTTTTTTTTACCAGAAATATTTTTAGGACTCAAACTGTGCTTGAAAAATGAATAAATGATTAAAAAAAGATCTATTTTGGAAGAATTATAAGTTCTTCATAGGCAAATTCCTTTCTGGATTAGGCTGACCCTTAATTCTGAGACCCACCTGCCTCTGCTTCTTGAGTGCTGGGATTAAAACTGTGTGCCACTTACTGTACCTGGCCTTTTCAGAGGGCAATTTCCAAGATTAATACAGATGAGCATTCATGTTTAAAGAAGAACAGGAAAAACATCCACATAAAAGAGGAAGAAATAAGAGGCAGTGTTGCGGTGTTCTCCCTGAACATGACAGTGGACACAGAACTACTTACACAAAGTTAATGAGCTAGCATCTCCCTAACTGACTGGGACATTAGCAGCACTTTGGTGCTGTGACTGTCCATGTTCCCTCGTGTCCAATGGTGGGAGTCCAGTAGGTGACTGGACTTCTCACCTCATGCAGTTCCCTTTGTTCCCGAGGGCTCAGATTGAAAACTTGAGATCATGCACTGTCACATCCACCTGCCACTCATCAAGACTCCTGTATAATGGGTTCTGTTGGACAGCAGCCAGCTGTGACCCATTCCTTCTCGGGAACACACACTGACCGAATCCTACACTGTCAGCTGCCCCACGCTCCCACACACGACTTCAATGTGCTAGGAAAAAAGTGGGCTGCTGGGAGCCGAGGGCAAGGAAGGAGCTGTGACATTTAGTGTGATCAGACCTTTTACCAATCATCATTGACCTCGGTAAGGAACTCAGCCCAATATGGAATCACAGGAGTGGGGTGGGTGTGGTCCTGCCACTGCCCTGTCCAACTCCTCCTCCAAAGCAGGTCTCCTCCTCGACCCTGAGGCTCAGTCAGCTCGCTGAATGGCAACGCCTGACTACCAGCGAAGCTCTTCTGAGTGTCCTAAACTGAAGCCCCACCGCCCAGGGGCCATCCCATCTCCACAGCACTAACTTACAGGCTGCTAGAACCACACGTCCCTCTCAATCTCCCAAAACCACCTAACCGACTCCAGGGTACTACAAGTCACAATGCCTCTGTGTCCCCACTGTTCTGAATGGCTTGAGCAAGGCAGACCACATTTCCTCAGGCTAGGCCAATTTCTGCTGTATGCCCGAGCTGGGACTAAGGCTAACTGTTACTGCCAGAACCCCAACATAGAATCCAAAGTACTGCTGTTTCTGTCCAGTGCTGTAGCCTGCTTACAATAACAGGCTCTTAGTGGCTGGTTTGCCCTGCCCTGGTGGACTTTATTATTTTTTCATTTTGTGTGTATGCATGGGTGTTTTGTCTGCATGAATGTTTGTGCACCATATGTATGCCTGGTGATGTGGGGGCCAGAAGAAAACATTGGATCCCCTGGAGCTTAGGTTACAGACAGTTGTAAGCTGCTATGTGGGTGCTAGAATTCAAACTCAGGTCCCCTGGAAGGGTAGCTAGTTTTCTTAACCACAGAGTCTTCTACCTAGCTCCCCACTTTTTTTTTTTTTTTTTTTTTTTTTTGGAGACAGGGTTCTCTGTGTAGCTTTGGAGCCTGCCCTGGCACTAGCTCTGTAGACCAGGCTTGCCTTGAACTTAGAGATCCGCCTGCCTCTGCCTCCCAAGTACTGAGATTAAAGGCGAGCGCCACCACCGCCCAGCATAGCTCCCCACTTTCTAACCTGAGCCATCTCTCTAGTGCCTCTAAAAGACACAAGCCTCCATCAGGAATTTCACCTTAAGCGGCAGTTAACTGGTAAAAACAACTGCACTAAATACACTGGCTTCTCACCATCCCTAGTTTTCTCTTGCCCCATTGCTCAAGCCACCAATCCTCTCAGCCAGCCCCAGTGTACAAAGGATAGCTTTAGCAAATTCTGTGTGCTGAAGTTAAGCACAACATACCTTAATTCCCCATAGGTCACAAAGCCAGCAGGTCTAAATAAGTCAACAATGGAAAGCCTAGATGCTGGCCCAAAGGACCCTTTAGTTCCAGATCCTGCTACTCTCCCAGCTCAGAGGGGTCTGGGTAAAGAGCATACTTACGAAGACACACAAGGCAGTGGTTGGGACTCTCACATCTTTACCGGAAGCAGGATGAGTGTCCACATTGTCCTGAGGGACTGGGATGGAAGAGACAGAGCGTCTCCTAAGGAACAACACAAAGGCAGACATTATACAGGACAGTTCAGGATTAGTGTCCACCAAACTGCTAGACAGGCCTCAAGAACAACCTTGCTTGAACAGTGTGCCTATGTTAATAGCTGTTGTCTTTTTAGACCCTCCAAAGTTCAGAATTCATACCATCTCACTCAAATGACGGGAGTTAGCACACACCTTACTTTTCTGTTTGCTAATTCATGGGCTCCAAAATCCAGCATTGACTCAATCCTGAACAAAAGTTGTTTGCCCTGTCAGTAAACTACGGAGAATTGTTCTCACCCTAACACACTAGCCAGCTTAGAGGCAAACCTCTGGCACTCTGAAGCACTATTTTGAGCTGACTTCCATGCCTAGCGGAATGAGCCTCAGCTTTCATCATTGCATCGTGGTCAAGGCAGAGTCAGATGCATGCCAAGAGGAAGAGCGTCAAGAGCATGGTGACTGCACAGAGCTCAACCTCATTGCCTAGCTCAAGGGCTCCAGCATTCTAGGAGCATGCAAAGCGCCCTGGTTAGCGTGTAGACATCGATGATTGCGGGCAGCACAGTGTGATCAGCACAATTATCAATAACCCACACTCACATGCTGGGCTGAGAGAGGGTAATATTTTCACCTGGCAGCATCAGAAGAAGAATGGTGTCCCAAAAGGGGAGATTCGGACAGACTAAAGGGAAAGGCCATAGATCAGCTCACAGCAAGATAAAGAGAAAGGAAGTTGCAGAAAAGAGAAAGAAGCTAAATGACAAGCTGAATTAAGGCATCCATGTTCTTAGCACTGCTGAAATTCTGCTGTACATTAAAAATAATACATCACATACATATGCTTAGGTATATTCACACATTTTTAAAAGGAAAGGTGAAGGTCTTCTAACCTACCCAAAGATATTAGTGATAGAATCCAGAAGGCCTCCAGCAGGCTGCGAGAGTCGCTTACTAAAGAGGAGGGGAGGATAGGTTTAAACCTTAGAAACATTTTGCCCCCAAATCAAAACAGCCCCTAAAAACAAGTACCTGGGAATACAGTTTCCATTCCCAAACCCCAGCCAAGACAAAGTCAACCAACACAGCATTTGAACCATCAGGAAATAGTAAGAAGGCAGAAGGGAAAACCCAGCCTACAACCTAAAAAGAAACAAGGCTCCCTAAGATATTCCCTGACAAGGGCTCTGTCTATCTCACCAAGAACTTCAGGGTATTAATAACAAATTTTTATCCATTCTTTCAGCCCTACATTAACAAATTAAAAAAACAAAAACAAAACACTACAATGAATGCTCATGGTGCATAATAAATAAATAAATTTAACAGTTAACCCATCTTTCAGGTGGCTACATCCCTCCCACTCTCCTCTGTGTGGGGTGGAAGAGGCTTGGGGACTATAGGTGCATCTGACTAGGTCCCCCGTCATGCCCACACACGGGCAGTCACATTGATGTTGCAGATCGCCTTTTCCCACCCAGCAGGTCCACTCACGTAGCTGCTCTGCTGACAGCTCGCACAGGAGAGGTCTCTTCAGTGTGATCTGAAGTCTCATCCACAATGACTTCAATGTCATCATCCCTGGAAAGAAATGAAAGTGAATCTGTGTTGTCCTGAACAGCAGCTCTCTCTGCAAAGCCAGTACCACGTTCTAGAGATGGACTCTTTAAAACGCGGCTGCAAAGTGATGGTGAAGGAGAAAGGGGAACTACATCATGTTTGAGAAGCAAACCATTTTACCTATCCAAAACCAGTAATGCCAACCAAAAATAATTTTCCAAAAGCAAAACTTAAACGCATGTGCTTCTAATGGCTGGAGAGTCTGCACACTTCCCCTGGTTCTGGTTTCAGAACACACTCTTTTGTTGTTTATGCCAGGCACCTCTGGTATTTTTTTCTTTCTGACTCTTACAGGTCAACTCTTTCCTGATAGTGGGGAAGGCAAGTAATTATTTTGGTCTTAACGATCTTCATGGAGAAAAAAAAAAAAAACCTTAAAAAAATTAAGTGTTTATCACTACTATTTGGATTCTGAAGAATTTGAAAGCAAGATTTTTTTCTTCCTATGATTAGCTAGATTATGAGCATATACACTTAAGAACCTGTTACACCAACCAAGTCAAACCATTACTAAGTAAATTTACTTTCCCTTGTTTACTCTGGGGTCACATGTGACTGTCTCATACATACTCTTGGCTGGGGTATAGAGACGATAAAGAGAACAAGGCTATGCCTGATCTTCCCAGATCTATGTTTAAGAGAGTCACAGGGGAAAGACAACAAGAGGAGTAATATGAACTGAACCTACAGTGATGCTGTGACGAAGTCTCCCGGTTCTTAAGTGTCTGGCAGTGTACATAAGCCCACACCCAGAAAATGCCAGGTCTTTCCTCCACATCCGGAAATGTACATTTCTCTGACCAGACTGTTACATTCCTGAGGAGTAGACAGGCTGGGAAAACCTCTACAGCAAGCTCTCCAAGGTTTGCATTTCAGCACAAGCCCTCCATGCGGGATCCTGGGCAGGATGCTGGATCCTTCTTAATCATGTCACCTGGTTACGCTGGTAAATAGGAGGCAGACACGTGATAATTCTTTTTTTTTTTCTTTTTAAAGGAACGAAATCTCTTTTAGGCCACCTACTTATTTACTTTTCGGATTTGAAAAAATACATTAGGTCAGGAGACACAAGCATTCATATTCTCTCCTAGAGCCAAGGCTTAGCCTGAGAATTCTCCTTTCCTCTAAGGGAAAACATATGGGCTTGAGTTTAAACAACTCCTCTCCACTTAAAAATGTACTCATTCCTGAGTGTTTGGCCTGCATGTATGTATGTATCATGCTGGGTACTGGGGAGGTCGGAGGGCACTGGATCCCCTGGAACTGCAGATACAGAAGGCTGTGAGCCACTATGCGGGTGCTGGGAACTGAACCAGGTCCTCTGCAAGAGCAGCCAGTGCTTTAAACTGCTGAGCCTCTCTCAGCTCCAGGAGTCAGTACACATTAAAGTAAGAGCAAGTCATAATTCTGAAGCTAACTTATCCCAGAGCACAGAGGACTGTCACTGAAATACCCACCACTTAACACAGGACTTCCAATACCAGGTTCTTCACCTTCATTAGTAGGTGGACCTGGGGGGAGCTGGTTTGAGTTCAGTTCTTTTTGCAAAGAGATCTCTGACCTCACTTATGTCTCAAAAATTGGAAAAGCTTCCACAAAGGTCAAAGACCAAGACAGCAAGAGACTGAAACCACAGCCCAGATTACATGACAACAGGTCTAGTGAGAGGAAGGCCGGTGATCCAATTGTCTACAGGAACCAGTAAGGAGTTAGTCAGAATCAGCTGATCGCTGTCAACAAGAAAAACTTCTTGGAAAGTAATTTGGTGATACATCTGAAACTCTTAAGTCAACACAATATTACTTTCAAAATTTCATTCCAAGTAACCGATCTGAAACATGGACAAAGGCCATTTTTCAGTACATTATTTCTAAGTGCAATGAGATGCCATCAGCGTAAAAGTAACAGAAGTGGTTGTACGCATCCTACTGTTACAGTGGTGGCAGAATAATGTGTTCTTACTTTCTGCTTCTAATTTTTTAACTTTGGGCTAGAGCTGGCGCTCCAATCCCCAGTACCTTGTAATAAAATGCCCTTTAAACGTTTAAAGAAATGAAGCAAAGCATTCAGAGCATAACTGACTTCTCTGTACTTACTGCTCAACAGGCAGAGGTTCCTTTGCTGCTTCTGCAAGTTCCTTCTGCAGCCGTGCCTGGCGCCTCCTGTTTGCAAAAACAAAAAACGATCAAACCAACATGTAAAAATTTCACTCTCAACAAACTTAGTTCTGAAAGAATATTTGAATATTCAGTGCAGGACTGGGAAGATGGCTCAGTGGCTAAGAGTGTTCACTGCCACAGGCATGAGAACCAGAGTTCAGATCCTACCACCTACATTAAAGGCCCAGCATGGCTGCATGCCTATAACCCCAGTGGGAGTGTAGACAGGAGGATCACTGGGGCCTGTGCTCAGTGCCAGCCTAACTTCAGGTTCAGTGAGCAAGTCTATTTCAAAGGAATAAGGCACAGTCACAGAGCAGAACACCTAACAGCCTCCTTGAGTGTGCCTCCTGCCCCTCAGCACACAAAGAATGCTTAAGGCATATCAAATAACAGCTAGTATGACCAAAGGCACCCAAATACTGATGAGATACCCACTATAAAAAGGTTCCAGGGCCAGTGAAAAGGTATGTGCCACCAAGCCTGACGACCTTCGTCAGATCTCTTGTGGGAGTCACCTGTGGCAAGTGTACTCTCCCTCACACAAAGGTACATCATGACCCCAAAGCTAGTTATGGTTATGACTTTGCTTCCTGTAGTAAACTATCTACTAAGAAAGCAACAAAAATAAGAAGAAACTCAGGAGGCAGAGGCAGGCAGGTCTCTGTGAGTTCTAGGCCAGCCCGATCTACAAAGCTACACAAAGAAACCCTGTCTCAAAAAACCAAAAAAGTAAAATAAAATCCACTGTCTGTGCGCTTATGCCACAACTTTATTTATTTATTTGTTTGTTTGTTTTTGTTTTTCAAGGCAGGGTTTCCCTGTGGCTTTGGAGGCTATCCTGGAACTAGCTCTCGGAGACCAGGCTGGTCTCGAACTCAGAGATCCGCCTGCATCTGCCTCCCGAGTGCTGGGATTAAAGGCGTGCGCCACCACTGCCCGGCTGCCACAACTTAATTTAAGAACCGAATTTTTTTCACTATGAATAACATGCCACCCTGACCAACAATTTGTCAACAAGTTTTCTTACTTCTCTGGGATAAGGTCCAACAACTGGGGAAAGTTGTCAGATTCCTGCTGGTCTAAAGCAGTCCTCCTACTGATGGTGCCCTGTGCTTCCAGAACATACCAGCCTAACAAACTTTTCTGTCATCTTTATTGACCATTGCCACCGCTGCTTGTCATACCCATCTTTCCTAATGACTGCATTAAGAATACTTCATTTGGAAAGAGCATTTCTGGTCCAGGGGATAAAAGTGATTGATGTGAAAGTCTGATGATCTGAGTCTGATTTCCTGGGATCCACATAAGGGGAGAACTCATTCTACAAAGGTGCCCTCCAGCTCCCACATGTGCTCTGTGGTACAGGCTTTCCCTTCCCTACCTGTGTGGGCACATACACAAGAACACACAGAGCACTGAAAGAAACCAACATTTCTTGATTTACTGTTCTCTGATATTAAGAAGTCTAACATTTTACCATCATTCCTTATTTATTATATTTGATTTTCTGACTGCAAAGTTCTCTAATATTTCTATTTAGGAACTCTTCATAAAATGATCAGCACTCATTGTTTTCTAACTTGACCTTTAAACTTTACTTTTCCACTAATGAGAGCGCGAAACATGGCAGGGTGTGCACTATTAGTCCTTAGGACTCATTTCTAACACCACTGCAGATGAACTAAAATTCTTTTTAGACTGAGTTACAGATAGAGATTTTTCCAGACAGATGTTTTAAAGTGTAGTCTTATTGTCTGAATGGGATTATGTGTGGTAATAGTGACCTTGACCATAAATACACCATCAACACCTATGTGTGCACTCATGTGTGTTCTAAATTCCTTCATGTATTGTCACACAGATGCAAGTTCCTAAAATAAAGGATGGGAGGCTTCCCTACCAAAATACAGGATACTGGTCAGACAGGTGTTCTTTTCAAAAGCTTTGCTGTTGTTGTTGTTCTGGATTTATGGGGCTTAATCAGGGTGACTTAGTGGGACAGCATTTACTGGATGGTTATAAAATTCCTTATTCAAAGTGCTACCACTGGCACCCCAGTGACCCACTTTTAATTCCTGGCAGAAATCCTACCCAGACTTCACTGTATTAAAAAATATCAGCACTAAATTTGGTTTAGGAATCTCACTTTTATATTCCCGAGATTAAACTACAGTTTTCTTACATACTAGCAGAATCAGAATTTTTGTATATGTCTGAATAGCTTCATGAAATTGGGAGATAGCACGGAGACATGCAACAAGGATGCACCATTTGAACAGTGTTCCAAACAGTGCATCACCCCCCCCCCCCCCCCCCCCCCCCCCCCCCCCCCCCCCCCCCCCCAGCAAATGCTTATTTCTCTTCTAATCTGGACCATGTTTTCTCTCTGGTTCACATCTCCCCATCATCACCACATCAACAACTGCCAGGCATGTTTTTCTTTGCAAAGAACCAGGCTCTGCTCCACTAAGCTCAAACAACACTAACTGAAGCTAAGCATCCCACCTGGAGTCCTTCTCGTTTTCGGCATTGAGACGATTGGCTTCCTGGGCCTTCTCAGCCATCCACCTGGTGACCAGCTCTTGGTTCTCCTCAGTAGTTTTCCTTAGTTTCTCCTCTAGAGCAGTAAAAGTAATCTGCAGGGCATCATACTCATCCTTCAGAGTCTGGTTGGCTAGCTCCAGGTCCTGCAGTTTGGTGCGCAGGTCCAGGCACTCCGTCTCCAGGTTAGAGATGGTCTGTAAACACTCTGCAATTCTGAAAGTACAATTTGAGAGGAGCTTTCCCTCATCTGAGCCCTGTACCACAGACAGAGCACCTGCCCAAGTACCATCTAGATGGGCTTGAGCAAGCAGCAGCAGGAACACTGGCCACCATACCTGGCCTATTCAGCTCCTTGGTGTGCAGAATAGTTCTTTTAGCAAATACCTAGGATGAAGCTCCTACTAACCACAAATGGCTAGTAACTGTAGCTTTCAGGAAAACAGGACCTCAGAGAAGGGGAAGCTCTAGGCACTTCCCAAGTGGCAAAAGGCCTTGTAAGGACCTCTCCACAACTCTAAGACACAAGGTCTAAGTCTGTTTCCCATCTGCCAGAATTCTTGCTAGTTACTATCTTTCTGCTCACAAATGTACCTTCCACCATCCTAACAGACACATGCTTGGATACTGTGGCCCCACCTCTAGTGGAAGACACCAGTGACCACACATAGTGGCCGTGCAGAACTGAGAATGCCTCCGGAACATTCACTTGCAAGGGCCATCATTACTTCCTTAGGCAGATATCCAGCACATAAAAGCACCAGGGCACTGCCCTTGCTTCACTTAGAAAAGAACTCCAGATTGCAAGCAATGCAGCAATAAAATTCCTGCGGAGAGCAGCATGGCTACTGCTTGCCACCAGCCCTGCTCACGGTAGAGCAGCAAAACCAATGTGTAAGCCAACAGCAGACCCCAGGAGACACAGTCTCTACTTACTTTGCTTCATTCATCTGCATCTCCCTGTCCTTCTGCTGCATTTGGTTATTCAGGTCAATCACCAACTGAGCTAACTGGGAGACAGAAGACTCTCATAAATAAGAGGCCGTTGAATCTCAACCACAAGCCACACAGTGGGTTACTATTTCCTTTATTTTTAAGAAAGAAGTGGTGCCTGTGGGCTAGGTAAAGTTAAGAAGGGAAAAGGAGATGGTTGCAAGCAGGCAGAAGGGCCTTTGAGGCTGTCTGGTGCCTCTTACAATCTTGGCCAGGACATTTGTGCAGAGGATACCCTCCACCTTGTGACTGACTCAGCTGAACACAGTAAAGGTATTTTCTCATCCAGAGCTGTCCTATGGAAGACCAAAAACTAGGGTAAGGCACTCAACCTCAGTGACTGATATTTCAGGGTTCACACTCAAAAACTGATGCACCAGAAAGACCTTTAGGGAGTCACATAGTAACCCTTTTGCTCTTGAAGACTTCCCTACCATTTCTCCTATGCTGCTGTTAGAGCAGTGGTCTGGCTGTGGCTCAACTCCTGCTTCTGGACCTCATGCTGATTGATGGATTTCCTTTGTTGTGTCCTGTCCCATGCCCCCACCTTCCACCCTGCCTCATGGAATTTGTGATGTCAAATTAGAAAGTGCCTGCTTTTCTTGCCTTTACCAAGAAGGTCCTGAAAAGAGCAAATGGGCTTTCTTTACCTCCCCACGTTTCTTGTGCAGTTCTGTCAGCTCTTCCTGGTGTTTAATCCTCAGCTGGGCCATTTCTTGTAGCTGACTATCATTCCACGCACCATCGTGTCCAGGACTAAAAATCACCACCAGCCACATGAAGGCAACATGTGAAAAAGGAGAGAGAAATTAAGTATCATACTCCAGACCTTTCCCACTAGGCAATGGGGCACTAACTCAAGAATTTAAACCTGCCAATCTACCAAACCATTTTGGCATCTGAAACAGTGGCAAATCTTGAGCCACTATGGGAACAAAGCCCCATTGGTGATGGTAAACCAAACAACCACAGCAACCAGTCAGATCAGGAGCAAAGGCTGGGCTCCTGAATTAAGTGTAGGTGAATAGCCAACACACCCACACAGCCAACACACCCACTCATCCGCAATATCTGCATTCCAGCCCTGTGCTGGGTACTGCTGGTTCTGACGAGAAAGGCAGAGGGGGTACAGAGCTCTGTCTTCAGGCATCTAACAATCAATAAAAAGCATGTGTGATGTTAAATGCTACAAAGGAAATACAAACCAAGGAAGGAAAGTCCTATTTTATTTAGCACGAGGAAGCAGGACTTCCCTACGGTGACCCAAAAGAAATGAAGGGCCAGCCACGTGCTCACCCCTACCTGGAGAAGGATCCTCTGAGTGGAGAGGGGAGCATACTACAGACCTGGGAGACAGTGAAGAGGAACAAGAACCAAGACTCAGAAAGTAAGGTTATGCTGAGCCTTCCTGCCACTTCCCTGGGGACTGTGGGGTGGCATTTGCTCACTGCTGAAAGGTTTTACCAGTCTGGGGTGGGGAGGAGGTGCTAAGACAGGAGCAGAAACAGTGAGACCAATTAGCAGACACTGAATAACCCTTCTGGGCAAAGTAGCTCAGACCACGGGGTGCCAGTGGATTCTGACGGGTGCTTACAGTACTTGGATGTGTGAAATAAAAGACTGGCAGGAGTAAAAGATGACTCAGGGCTTTGGGCCTGAGCAAACAGCAAGCCAGGTATCATCAATTAATTGTATGGCAAGACTGGGGAGGAATAGGTCTAGGCGAGGACAGAAGGACTGTGATGGACATCCGCACCGAAGGTGCACACAGGTAAGGTCAGCACACAGAAGTGCACAATGCTACAGGAGTATAGGCCACCCCAACAATAATTTGTTTTGGGAACTTTGTCAGATATTTGACAGTATCTGAGAAACAACACTATGACGAAAAACAGTGAGAGGCTCTAAATTACAAAGGCAGAAAGGTGGAGGGGCAGAAATCAAGGAAGTTAATCAGTTAACAGCTGCCGGCAAAACAAACTATGTGGAAACGCAGACTTAAATCCCATCACAATGGATCTCCAAACCCTGTTCAGAGAACTCTGGACTCAAACCCAAGCAGATCCAAAAGTAACCATTTTTCCTCAAGGAACTCCTACCAGTCCCAAAGATCTCCAAAGCTCAAGGGAAAGCAAACAAAACTGCCAATAGCTCTGATCAGGTGCTGTGACTATACACTTTTACCGAGGGCTACCTAGCTCTGCTCCCAGTATCGGAAGGACCAGTGTCCCAGGTTCTGACTCTTTATTTTTTGGCCAGCATCTGCACTGGACTAATAAACACTTTTATTTCAGAGATTCTGCAAAACTCCGGTTGACAACAATTGGAGATTTATGGTTCAAGGGAAGGGTGTTGGCAAGAGCTATTAGTAGGTGACTGTGAACTGGAAAAAGTGATAGGAAAAAGGAAGAAGGCTGGACAGTGACTAGAACATCCACACTTAAAGGGAGAACAGTCTGCTCTTTAAGACTTAGGCTACAGTGGAAAGGGGGGAGGGGTGATGACAAAGAACAGCATAGTAAGCTGGGCGTGTGGTGTGAGTCTTTAGTCCCAGCAGAGGCGGTAGGATCTGAGTTCAAGGCTAGCCTGGTCTACACACTGAGTTTTAGGACAGCCAGGGCTAAACAGAGAAGTCCTGTTTTGGAACAGCAAAGTAACATCTTGCAATTCATACTTCACCTATACTTGGATTTTTATCATCTATCTTAAGCATAAATATTCATTCATCTCACCCTTTTAAGTAACTGGATACTTTCCGTAATCTTAGTCCAAGAAGTAGACAACAGCAGTCAAAAAGTAGAACACCCCATATAAAACCATTTGTAATGACTTTGAGTGATTAGAAAGTATTTCACCAAATCCTGTTCTCTAAATGCAAAGCAGCATGGGTTATGCAAAGCATCAAATACACTCCTAACCTATAAACTGGCATTCAAAAGAAAGGCTCCTGACATCAAGGCAGTAAGAAAATTAAGTCATTCCTCACACAAGGCTGGGAGGGGTTTAAAAGAATAACAGGGAGGACTCCCTAGGATGGCTAACTGCAGACAAGAACAGCAGGCTGAGGGGAACTTTCCATACAGATAGACACAGCTCCCATCAGAACTGCTAGGAACAAGGCAAGAAGGGCCAGGCCACTCCCCTGCTCTGGGACCAGTGACTTCCTCCTACTCACAACAAAACAAAGGGTCCGATACCTTCTGTGAACACTCAACACACTTCCAAGGAGACATCCCTTTGTGCTGGTCTCTGGCTTAGTTTCTGACCCCACAAAGTGAACTCTTAACTCTCACCTTTGCAACCCCAATGCCTGGACACACTAGTCACAAATCTAAAGTAAAAGAGACTCTAACCATAGTTCAGGAATAAAAAGTGGTAGCAAAATAAATGTACACCAATGGACAGACTCACAAGTGCTTACACCCAGACAGAAATACAATCTTTTAACTGAATGAATTTAGATGAACAAGAAGGTAAAGTCACATTTCCTGTAACTAACCAGATCATTGTAACTAGTATCTTAAACACTACAGAAGCGTCTTCAGGTCACACAGGCAGGATCACCTGAACTGTGATTAAGTAAAACACAGAAAGGAAGCCGGGCAGCTCCACCTGTTCTCTAGGATTTTGCCCACTCTGTCACTTCCCAGAAGACCATCTTGAGAGATGGACAGAAGGCTATGGGGAAGATGCATTTACAGGCAGAAGTAAATGGTAAGCCACACTTACCATTTCTAGTTTTGTTTTTAAAACCTTAAGTTAGCTACCTTGTTTTTAACAATTGCTAGGTGTCAACATGCAAAAAGACTGTAGATTTTTGATTAATAATGGGTACTGTTCCCATATTAGCCATCAACTATGCATACATCTCAGACACTATGGAGAAGACAGAAAGACTCTGAACCCCATCTGCACTAGAGTATGGCTTTTCATTAGAGTCCAGTAAACAATCAAATACCCCACATGAACATATACTGCTACTTTCCCAATCAAATTCTCAAAAGAAAAATAACAACCTGTTGGAACTTGCTAACTTAATTTCACAAGCTAAAGCTGAAAACACTAGGCTAAAAAAGGATCAAACAGACCAGTACTATAATAAAAAGCAATCTGTGTTTATTTGCCAGTTAATCCTGTTTTAACAAGGCCCTAGAAGACTACTTAGGAACCCAGTTGGTTCTGATCATTCAACCTTTTTTTTTTTT